AAGCTTTTTACGAGAATAAAGAGCTCTAAAATTGGGATCAAACTACTTCCTATAAATCGCGAAACGCCAAAAAAAATTGAAAAGAAAAAATTATGGACCAATATGCCAAAAAAAATCCGTTAAAAAACTGCCATCTACAATAGTGGACCTTAAGCGCAAATTCAAAATTTTTTACTCTCTAAAACGCCTGTTTTCAATATCCAAATTGGATAACATTTCTTATAAAATTTTGCATAGACAAAGAAGCAAATGATCAGAGATAACCTCTATGAATATATCAATATTTGCTTTCAATGACTTGCCAATGTAATCCGGGTCTGAAAATCCCAGATTTCCTCATATACTCTGATTCGAAATACTGTCGGTTTTCTGAAGAATTTCAACAGAAACAGTTAAACCGCTAAATTGAGAAAACCTCTTCAGTTTTTATGAGAGAAATAGAAATATTCAGTTAATCTATCCTTTGTCTAAAGGATTTACTTAACAATCAACCCCCCTCCCCCCCCCCCCGCTCTCTCAAGAAAAAGAGGGGAGAGATTGTTAAGTAGATTACTTGCACCGAATTTTCGACCAATCAGAATGCAGCAAAACTCGAATTTACACACAACGCTCTAGTGCGAATTTACTGTTTTTATTTACAGAGGTGGAGATTCTTTAGTAGAGACAATAGGGTGGGATTGTTAAGTAGATCCTGTCTAAATAAACTAGCTGTAGTGTTTGCTTTCATGATTGTTTCGAAATCTAGGCTATTAACTAAGTTGTTTTCCAGGTAAAATTTTGGACCATCCACACAATTTACAGGAGAACGTCAATCAAACTGAGGTTCAAAAAGTTCAAATTCGATTAAATATAACGGAAAATTGATGGTCGCAGAAAACTACACCGGATCGTCGCCAACTAAAATATGCCAAAAAGAAAAACAATTCCTGATCATGAGGGGCGGCACAAGGTGCATTTTTATCGCTAGTGTGAAAACTTATTTAAAAAAATTTTGTCTCATCAAGCATAGAGGTTGCACACAAGGAACAAGTTAGCAGCATTATGCGTTTTAATCAATGTGTCATAAAGCTTTACGACATCCTATTAATTTAACACAAAATTTTGTCAGAAAAAGGAGTCCAGCACTCGCCGATGCGGACCCAAATTACACAAAAAATAATACTCCGACAAAAAAATGAATATTATCGAGACTGACCCAACCAAAAAAATGAAGGCAAATTACAATGAGGTTTTACAAACAAAAAACAGAAATAAAAAGCTTTTTACGAGAATAAAGAGCTCTCTAAATTTTTATCGCTAGATGTGAAAAACTTATTTAAATAAATTTTGTCTCATCAAACAGAGGTTGCACACAAGGAACAAGTTAGCAGCATTATGCGTTTTAATCAATATGCCATAAAGCTTTACGACATCCTATTAATTTTACACAAAATTTTGTCAGAAAAAGGAGTCCAGCACTCGCCAATGCGGACCCAAATTACACAAAAAATAATACTCCGACAAAAAATGAATATTATCGAGACTGACCCAACCAAAAAAATGAAGGCAAATTACAATGAAGTTTTACAAACAAAAAACAGAAATAAAAAGCTTTTTACGAGAATAAAGAGCTCTAAAATTGGGATCAAACTACTTCCTATAAATCGCGAAACGCCAAAAAAAATTGAAAAGAAAAAATTATGGACCAATATGCCAAAAAAAAATCCGTTAAAAAACTGCCATCTACAATAGTGGACCTTAAGCGCAAATTCAAAATTTTTTACTCTCTAAAACGCCTGTTTTCAATATCCAAATTGGATAACATTTCTTATAAAATTTTGCATAGACAAAGAAGCAAATGATCAGAGATAACCTCTATGAATATATCAATATTTGCTTTCAATGACTTGCCAATGTAATCCGGGTCTGAAAATCCCAGATTTCCTCATATACTCTGATTCGAAATACTGTCGGTTTTCTGAAGAATTTCAACAGAAACAGTTAAACCGCTAAATTGAGAAAACCTCTTCAGTTTTTATGAGAGAAATAGAAATATTCAGTTAATCTATCCTTTGTCTAAAGGATTTACTTAACAATCAACCCCCCTCCCCCCCCCCCGCTCTCTCAAGAAAAAGAGGGGAGAGATTGTTAAGTAGATTACTTGCACCGAATTTTCGACCAATCAGAATGCAGCAAAACTCGAATTTACACACAACGCTCTAGTGCGAATTTACTGTTTTTATTTACAGGGGTGGAGATTCTTTAGTAGAGACAATAGGGTGGGATTGTTAAGTAGATCCTGTCTAAATAAACTAGCTGTAGTGTTTGCTTTCATGATTGTTTCGAAATCTAGGCTATTAACTAAGTTGTTTTCCAGGTAAAATTTCGGACCATCCACACAATTTACAGGAGAACGTCAATCAAACTGAGGTTCAAAAAGTTCAAATTCGATTAAATATAACGGAAAATTGATGGTCGCAGAAAACTACACCGGATCGTCGCCAACTAAAATATGCCAAAAAAAAAAACAATTCCTGATCATGAGGGGCGGCACAAGGTGCATTTTTATCGCTAGTGTGAAAACTTATTTAAAAAAATTTTGTCTCATCAAGCATAGAGGTTGCACACAAGGAACAAGTTAGCAGCATTATGCGTTTTAATCAATGTGTCATAAAGCTTTACGACATCCTATTAATTTAACACAAAATTTTGTCAGAAAAAGGAGTCCAGCACTCGCCGATGCGGACCCAAATTACACAAAAAATAATACTCCGACAAAAAAATGAATATTATCGAGACTGACCCAACCAAAAAAATGAAGGCAAATTACAATGAAGTTTTACAAACAAAAAACAGAAATAAAAAGCTTTTTACGAGAATAAAGAGCTCTCTAAATTTTTATCGCTAGATGTGAAAAACTTATTTAAATAAATTTTGTCTCATCAAACAGAGGTTGCACACAAGGAACAAGTTAGCAGCATTATGCGTTTTAATCAATATGCCATAAAGCTTTACGACATCCTATTAATTTTACACAAAATTTTGTCAGAAAAAGGAGTCCAGCACTCGCCGATGCGGACCCAAATTACACAAAAAATAATACTCCGACAAAAAATGAATATTATCGAGACTGACCCAACCAAAAAAATGAAGGCAAATTACAATGAAGTTTTACAAACAAAAAACAGAAATAAAAAGCTTTTTACGAGAATAAAGAGCTCTCTAAATTTTTATCGCTAGATGTGAAAAACTTATTTAAATAAATTTTGTCTCATCAAACAGAGGTTGCACACAAGGAACAAGTTAGCAGCATTATGCGTTTTAATCAATATGCCATAAAGCTTTACGACATCCTATTAATTTTACACAAAATTTTGTCAGAAAAAGGAGTCCAGCACTCGCCGATGCGGACCCAAATTACACAAAAAATAATACTCCGACAAAAAATGAATATTATCGAGACTGACCCAACCAAAAAAATGAAGGCAAATTACAATGAAGTTTTACAAACAAAAAACAGAAATAAAAAGCTTTTTACGAGAATAAAGAGCTCTAAAATTGGGATCAAACTACTTCCTATAAATCGCGAAACGCCAAAAAAAATTGAAAAGAAAAAATTATGGACCAATATGCCAAAAAAAAATCCGTTAAAAAACTGCCATCTACAATAGTGGACCTTAAGCGCAAATTCAAAATTTTTTACTCTCTAAAACGCCTGTTTTCAATATCCAAATTGGATAACATTTCTTATAAAATTTTGCATAGACAAAGAAGCAAATGATCAGAGATAACCTCTATGAATATATCAATATTTGCTTTCAATGACTTGCCAATGTAATCCGGGTCTGAAAATCCCAGATTTCCTCATATACTCTGATTCGAAATACTGTCGGTTTTCTGAAGAATTTCAACAGAAACAGTTAAACCGCTAAATTGAGAAAACCTCTTCAGTTTTTATGAGAGAAATAGAAATATTCAGTTAATCTATCCTTTGTCTACAGGATTTACTTAACAATCAACCCCCTCCCCCCCCCCCCGCTCTCTCAAGAAAAAGAGGGGAGAGATTGTTAAGTAGATTACTTGCACCGAATTTTCGACCAATCAGAATGCAGCAAAACTCGAAATTACACACAACGCTCTAGTGCGAATTTACTGTTTTTATTTACAGGGGTGGAGATTCTTTAGTAGAGACAATAGGGTGGGATTGTTAAGTAGATCCTGTCTAAATAAACTAGCTGTAGTGTTTGCTTTCATGATTGTTTCGAAATCTAGGCTATTAACTAAGTTGTTTTCCAGGTAAAACTTCGGACCATCCACACAATTTACAGGAGAACGTCAATCAAACTGAGGTTCAAAAAGTTCAAATTCGATTAAATATAACGGAAAATTGATGGTCGCAGAAAACTACACCGGATCGTCGCCAACTAAAATATGCCAAAAAAAAAACAATCCCAGATTTCCTCATATACTCTAAGTTTTTCACTTCGAGTGAAGAAGAAAGGAACAGCCGAGTTTAGTAAAGTTTTCACACTGATGGTATCCATTTTCTCGCTGAGAATGTTTCACGTCGCATGAACAACTTTTTTACTTTTTTATTCCGCTTACTCAAGAAAGATTTTACTACGTTGCAAAACTTAGTGCAGATGATGAAATCTGACATTTTCACACTCGGGTTATATTTGTAAGTCATTGAAACCAAATATTGATGATTTCAAAGATGGCAGATCTTTTAGTTAACCTAAGATATTCTAGATACATTTCTTTTGGCTGTTATTGCTGAAGTTGTGATTTGATAGCCGATTCGTAGAAGCTTTATTAAAAATAATGGAGTTTTCGTCTAGTTTCATTGTTTTCGTCTAATTTTATTGTTTTCAAACTGGAGACTTTTTCGCCTACTTTACACTTTTTTCTTTCGTCTAATTTCGATTTCGTCCAATTTCGTTTTTGCACATTCGAAGCAATAACAAAAAAGAAGAGTTTTTCAAGCATATCAGTTCAAGTCAAAGTCAAAATTTACTTACGTCCACACCGAAGAAGATTTAGTCCGATGAAAGATGTTGTATGCGTAATCTCCGTTACCCACTTCTATCAATCAAGATAAATAATAGTAGAAGTCAACAGGCAATTGATTTTGATGCACGAAGTTTCGGCTCACATTATCATCATAAGTGATTCCACAAGCAACCTTTAAGCTCAGAGGGGGGGGGGGATGGGTGGTGAGTTTGCATTGCAGTAAAAAGTTTTTTTCGACAAGTTCCGAATTTCAAAATTGAAGAACTTTTCTCATATTATGGTAATTTTTTTTAAAGATCCACCCTCATAAAATAAACACTATGAATACCTAAACCAATTGGCTAAAGTGGAAGTTTGTTCAGTCCTTCTTAAAATTTAATCGAAAACTGACTCAATTGCCTGTTGATCGAATTTCAAACCTCGTCGTGCTACTATTATGTCGTGGTTGACGTCCAAATCTGCGAACAAAAAAAGAGCTGTTAAATTTCAAAATAAAAAGCACACAAAACGTATCAGTTTAGCGTAATTGATGCATAAGTTTATAATACCTGTTTTTATTAAACACGAATTCTGCGCAAACATGTCAAGCAAGACATTCGAAATTCAAATTAGCAACTGAACAAAACTTACGAAGCGGAAACAAGGCCCACAATCTTTGAGCAGACACTAGTTGAGCCGAAAAAAACTGATTTGATCCCCCTGAAACTGAGCATGTCAGCTGCATAGTGATTCAACTGATTTTCTTAACCAGAAAAAAGTCTATATTCCAGCTTGATAACGATTGCTAATCGCAAGCGTAAAAATATTATATATCAAAAAACAAACGAAATTATTTCCGTATTTTATAAACGATAGACCAAAAAACTAAATATCTGCTCAAGGCCGGGCTTAGGGTTTTTCGTGTTTCTTTTTTCTAGTTCGACCAAGTTATTTTTTAGTTTGACCAAACTGATTTTCCTCACTATTAAAACTCTACTTTGCAAAATTTTTCCGCGTCACAAAAACATCTTTGAATTTTTCCAAAGAAAATTCCCAAAATTTTTGTTTTCAATTTGTTTGGCAGGAATTATGCACGAGAACTAAAAAAAACTAGTCAATAGCCAAATTGCATTTATTAATGAGAAACAAATATTGAACTGAATGTATTTTTTACCCATGGCAACGGATCCCATTAGCAGATCGAGTTGTTCCTCCAAGATACACAAATCCATGTCGTCATCCCAGGGAATCATGCCGCAGTGCCTGACAGCACCTAGAGTAGTACCACTACTGGTCCAGTAGTACAAGCCGTGCTTGAGGAACACCTGCAATCAGAATGACAAGCATCAATTAGCCGATGCATCGCATTGCCGAAAATGCGAAAATATTGTTTTTAGTCATTTAAGATTAAGTTATATTCTATAGAACTAATTTGGGTAATCAGATAACTAGCGCCTCAATCTAGAGGACAATTCAGAATCTCATTCGTTTCAGTTCGCAAATTTTTGCCCGAAAATGCCCGAGTCGAATGCCCGAAAACTCTGTCGGCAAAAAGTTTCAAGTTTTTTCGCTATGTCCGCATAACTGGCTCTCTGATTGGCTGTCTTTGTTGACAAATGCGTGGAACAAAAATAGCCGGTTACTGTATAAGTAGCACATAGTTCGTTTTTTCTGCGCGGCGTAATAAGAAACTTTGAACGAAACGGAAGACATATTCGATATCCATAGTAAATAGGCTAATTGGCAAACAATTTTTGAAGAAAAATGACTACAAAAACGAAAAAATATATATGTTATAAAATTTCCAACAAACTAATTAATTTTTATTTAGCAGAAATTTTTTAAATTTTGAAGTTTTTGATTCCCAATTTGGCGCTAAAAACTCCAAAAACTAAACTTACTCGAGTACAACTAAATTTCAAGGCTTCAATTCAGCATAATAAGCTTTTGTAACCCTGCTTAGCCTCGTCTGGTTTACACCCAAAAGTCAAAGCAGACGGCTGCAAAAACAGAGTCTGACTACATCTATATGAAAGTTGATCTCTATTTTTAGCAAACTGTTCAATCATGTCTAGGCTAAGACATTGCGAATGCGATAATTCTCAAGAAGTAGTTGGTAAAAGCTGAAGAAGTTAGTTATGATGGAAAGATTGAAAAAGTTTTCTAGGGCACAGAAATTAAATTTCTCTCACTGGTCATTAAAATAAGCCCCAAAAGGAGGGGAGGGACTGAGCAGTATAGCCCATGTGCAAAATGAACTTTTAACCGAGGCTAATCAGCTGACCATTTTTTAACGGATACCGATGCACGATTGCCTCTCAGTGGCGGTACGGACGCCATGTAAATGTTGCCTGGCCCAAAAATCATACAATCTATGCCGCAAATGTCATCAAACGCAGCATCAACTCGTGTTTTTATACTGGAAACGGAGAAAGCCAGTCACCTTGTTCCCCACGACCTATCTGGCACAATCGACGAAATCCTGTTGATCAAAGCCGGCATAGAAAGTAACCCTGGCCTTCAATACACACCTGCCCAACCTGTAATTGAAAAATAACGCGAGCACATAGAAGTTTTCAGTGCTTCTAGACGTGTGGGTTCACCAAACGTGCATTACACTTCGTAGATCCTCGGAATGGTCCAGAGAGTTTTACTGCCAAAATTGCTCTTACTGCAAAAACAATCCACCTCTATCTCAAACGCCCCAACCGAGAACAACTAAAACACGCCAACCAAGAGTAACTAAAACGCCCCAACCAAGAACCCTCATAAAAACCCCTTTCAAGCAATCAAACAATAATAAAGAAAACGAACAAAAAACAAGTTCCCAAAGAACTAAAACGGCCCTGGTTTGGCAAAGTTTTCTGCACCGCAGGCAAAATTTTGAAAAGCAAGCGAAAAAAAGTTTGTTTTTCGGCGCGCGCTCCCCCTCAAAACTAGTATAAATTAGCGCCCATGGCGCCTTTAGAAAAATTTTGGGGTCCGTTAGCCAAAAATGGATATCTCAAAATTGTTCAAAGGGGGATCTAACGAGTTTTGATGTACTCTTGACTATAAATAGTAGTAGTGACCAGTAAAAAAAAAGTAGACAGCTTTTAGAGACCAACAGTGACCGGTCACTATAATATATACCAGTTGGTAACCCTATTCATGGAGGTAAATAATATCTTAGTGGCAACCATTCAAGAAACCAACATGAGCGACTTGTCAGTCTGTGAAGCTCCCCCAGGTTTTTGCTTAATTGCCGAAAACAGAGGCCCCTCTAAATGGAAAGGCCGCGGTTTAGCGTTCCTCAATTTACAGTTTCCACATCTCAAATTAGATTCTAATGATCAGCATAAATGAATCGATGGAAATATAATCCAATTGGATAAACTCTACATCAAACTAATCAACATTTTCATTTCCTCTCACTCAAGCTGCTCTTCGGTATACGTATTTTCAATCAGCTCACTTTTAAATATGGCGATTTTGATGCACACCACTCACTCTGGTTCTCGAGCTTAACTAAAGATGTTAGAGGAACCAGTATTTCCAGAGAAACTGACGACTCCGATTTTGTAGTGCTTAAAGGGAATCTGCCCACCAAATTATCCAGCACATGTGACAATTCACGAGACATGACTATAGCTAGCTTCTCCTTAGCAATGATTACCAATTGGACCACAGAGTTTTGCTAAGGGTCAGATCATCAAGCAGTTATACTCAAACTCAATTGTGATGTCGAGACAAAACATCCATCCAGCCGAACTTTCATTAACTTCAAAAAAGCAGCTAGGCAAGGCTTCAAGGAATCAACTGAACCTGCTTTCGTTTATGTAAACCTCCGCAAACAGTACCTCAAGTGGAAGCTACTTTTCGAAAAATTGTCTCAAAGGCTGCCAAATGACAATCCCACATGGCCGCATCAACGAATTCAAACCAAACTTTCCCTCTGAAACCGTCAAATTATCCAAACAAAGCGACGAAATTTAACTCAACAACCCTGGTGATCCTCAAATTTCCCAGATGAACAAATAACTCAATGACATTGTGAACAGACACAAAAAGGATAAATGGATTGAGTTCGTCAACACTCTTAACCATCAAGGTATTAGCCGCAACCTCTGGAAGACTGTTAAAACGTTGCTGGCAACAACGCAGACCATACATCAAACCAACCAATACACTTCGATAAGAAACAAGCTTACGATACCAAAACATGCGCCAATGTGTTTCAAAAATTTGTCTGCGGTGCAAAAACTTTAATAAAATAGAGCCAAGCCAGCCTTGGTAGTTTTGTGTCTATAATCCGATGGTCAGATCTTACATGAAAAATCAGGAGCATTAAAAAAACTCTTGTGTTCGGATTGATGGAAAAACACGATGGATAAATATAATATCTTCTAGTGGTCAATATCCGTTTACTTGGTCCGGTATGAAATCATCATTACCTCGCTCGAGGGGGATATAGTTAAAGACATCCAACAATTAATATCGAGTTTCATATCTGCCAAGGCATGGTCGTTTTTAGTTAATCAGGCATGAACTAGGAAAAATAGTTTGAACTTCATTCAGAGAAAGTCTGAAAACGGACCAGATAGTCTCCTCCAGGCAAATTTAAATGGCTGTGAATACGGTTTTACAACAATTATTATTGAAATGCTAGCCTGAAAACAATTTATTCTATTATTAGTTTTGAGCGGCCATAAATTTGAATAATTTTTAGAGACTCACCTGACTCAAAGCTCGTCCCAAATGATAAACTCTGACAACTGTTTCGGAGTCAGTGTAACTGAACTCGTTCGTTCTCTTCGGAACATCCGGATCAGGAAGTCTGAAGCTCCACAAGTTTTGGTTCGCTTCAAAAATCAAATCTTTTTCTGGATCGGCGATTTTGTCAATGCATAACTTTTCAGTGTCAACATGCAAGTTGTGTGTCATTTTCTTGCAAATATTTGCGCAGCGCAACAAAAATGAGAATCAATATGAAAATCTAGATTTTACAACGCAGCTCAAAATAAAGCGTGTTGTGGCAATTCTGATTGTTTTAAAGATTTTCGTTCCACTCAAAAGATGTTTCTTAACAACAAAAATATAGATATATTCAGCGTAATATTATTTTTGAGATCATAAAACCTGCATATATACAATTCGGTAAAGCCTTTGTGCATAAGTAAATTCAAATCAGAAATTAAATTACAGCGTCTGGTTTGAGCTTGAGGCCACAAAAAATAAACCACTGTTTTAAACCACGCCGTGTCCGTGTGTCTTTTTAGAAGAAAGCGAGCGTAATAATACACAAATACACAATCGACGGAAAATGTATCAAACGCGTGTCTCAGTTAAACAGTTAAGCTTAGACTAGAAATTTAAAGCGGATATTTTAAAATTTGGTTGCGGGATTGTGTAAAGAGGCAACGAACGAGGTTGGTATAAATTTGTCCCAAGGTAGATAAAGCAAAGAATGCGGCCAAAAGGTAGACAACCTTTATTTCATACCGGTCAAAAAGTAGACAAATATATTTTAACCAATCAAAATCGAGAACAGAGGAAACTCAGGAAATTGATAATTAATAATTATTTATTTCCTAAGTGTGTCTCTTGCTCTTGTTTCTGCTTGGTTGATATAGTAGTTGTCTAGCTTATGACTTGTCTACTTTTCGCTCCGTAACCGTAAAGCAACAGGACATTAAAACGACAAAAAAAATTAGACGAGCATGCTTTTCAACTCCATGGTAGGACAAAATTTACAATACGTTAAAGCAGACAAAATTCAAGGATCTACTTAAGAGTCCCGCTTCAAGAAAAGGAAGAGAGTGGAGATTGTTAAGAAGGTTAAGTTAGTCGAATTTTCGACGAATCAGAATGCACCAAATTAGAGTTCTCAATACAAAGCTCTAGCGCTAATTTACTGTATGTATTTATAGGGGTGGAGATTCTTCAGTAGATATTATGGGGGGATTGTTAATTAAATCCAAATTCAAATTAGTTTTCTTTTGCACTTTTTCGAAAGAAAAAAAACATTTTGCCATTTGCAGAAATATCAACTCAAAGTCTTGCAATCCAATTTAAAAGCATTCAGTTGAGAAATTTTTGAGCTTTTACAAGGTTTGCATTAATTATAATACTTTTTTTTAGTATTAAGACCTATCCCCTCAATAAACTTGTAGAAAAACTGTAAATTCTTAAAAACAAAAATTGTTCTTAAAACCAAAGTAAATTCTTAAAAACGAAATTTAAACCATTTTTCAGATAACTTGTTAGAGAATCCGTTTTTTTTGTGTCCCAACAGCTGTCGTCTTGATCGCCGATAAAATAGCGTAATTTTACCAAACAATTTTTAGCTTTAATTAAAAGACACTTATTTTTTAGGCGGCCAAACGGGGACGTTCAAAAGCACCCAAGTACAACAGTACCGGAAGTGAAAATGGGTCCAAGAAAGCCGAAAAATGAGGACAACTGAAATTTGGAGTTCTGTTTGCATTTTAATGGCAAATTGCTTGAATACTGTTTTGTTTGTGACGCCGAGAAGAAAACTTGACAATTTGCTGAGTTAATTGTTCATTCCGCGGGGGCGGGTTCTTATGCTTGAGGGACCGAATGCTTGAAAAAATTCAACCAATCAAAATTGCAAAGCGTTTCTATTGGCTAAACGTCTTTCTCACAAAACCGAAGTCAATATTAGCAGAAAATATATTAAATCAGTGGTAAATAATCAAAAATTTTACAAATTGCGGGTTAAACCCGCGTTACTATTCAAATAATCTTCAAAATTAATGAGTTGAAAGTTAAAAGAATTTTTCAGTCTTGCAAACTCATCTGCTTATTATCTAATTGGTCAATATTAACACTAATGGCCTGGATTTGTTTTCTTACTTTGAGATTTTCGCGATTTACTTTGAGATTTTGAATGCTCAGTTCTGATTGGCTGAAAGTAAGCTAAAATTAGTTTCAAGCATTTGGTCCCTCAAGCATGAGGGACTCCACTTATTCCGCGCTTGGGGAAATTTGTTAATTTATCAAGCGGCATCAATTGAAATGGTCAATTTTGACTTTTCAACTACCGTCGATTTGAGTTAATTATGTTGTCAGTGATTTGGGATGAGTGAGAACAGTATTCTAATATTTATTTTCGGCATTGTTTCAACCAAATTTTTTTTCGGCTCTGTTGTACTTCGGCACTGTTGAACAACACTTTCTTTTTCGGCACTATGCACTTCGGCTCAGTCGAGTCTTCTATCAGTCTCATGTAATAAAACTTACGCATGATTGTTTTACAGACGAAAAAAGACGCTTAGTCTGGGTTTGAGCTTCATTAGTTGAGACAGTTACCTCAGTGTTTATCAAAAAAACTATCAATTACAAAAACAGAAGAGTTTAAAAGAGCGACAAAAACTGATTTAGACGCACAACAATTGTTGTGCCGCATTCAATCGCAGCAGAGTGAAGTGGAGCAAGCGTTTGCTACTTGCTTATGCTAAAATTAAGCATGCGGTTCTGACTGCTTAATTGTTTTCAGTCTGCTAAACTATCGGTTTGCTAGAAGCCTGTCTCCTAAAAAAACATGCCCTCGTTCAACATTTCATTGCAAGCAAAAATTATTCCATATGCCATTTTAACGGTCTCCCGAGCGGAACGCCTCACTACAACAATTGATAGAGAAATTATAAAATAATATTAAAAATCATTGAGAAAACAAGTTTCCAAAATCAAGAACAAATTTTCCTTGAGCTAACGATAACATACAGATGAATTAGGAATATTTAAATCTGAATCTTTTAAGAAAACCAGTCACAAATCGTAAAAACATTTGCCAGAATAACCAAAAAAAACTAAAGTCTGTAAATTCCACGCTTGCTACAAAAGAAAACACAATCACTCCATAAAATGTTATAACGAACTAAAAAGCGATCAATTTGAACCTTGAACGCAAAGACGAAGCGTTGCGGGGCTTTGCATCACTTGCAAAACAACACAAAAACACTCAATTTATCACAATCATAGCATTGCAAGTAAGCAGACACAGAGCGATTAAGTCAAAAAAAATTTGCCTCTGTAAAAAACTTTTGGCTTGTTTCGATCGAAGTTCAATTAAAGGAAAACGTATTTTGAAAGCTGCGTTTACTAATTGGCAGCATTTACGCTAAAAACAGTTAGTAAAATTTGAGCCGATAAAACTAAGGTGAACACCCGTAGAGCCGAAAACAAAATTGTTGCAACGAAAGATAGTCGTCACTACGATTGCCAACTCGAAGCTTTCATATCCCCTTCAGTTGAACTTTCAGGAATGAAGAATATTATCACATTAATGCACAGCTCAAGTCATGCAAGGATTTAGTGGTGGTAATCGAGACTTTTTAACATGGAAAAGTGAAGTTCCGGCGGTTTTATGAATTTTGTTAATTGCAAGCGTAAACAAATAGCTTCTGACAAATTTTTCTTAAAATTAGTTACATGGAAATCGAACTGGATCATAACTCCGCAATTTGAGCCGGATCTAGAGTTTTGTGAGAATTCATTTTGTTTTCAAACTTATTTTGAAATTTTTCGGCCATTGTCGACCGCGTTTTTGAAAAAATGGCCAAAGCCGTTTTAGACACCCAACAAAAAAGTCTAGCTAAAACGATGGGTTTATAGCATGTGTTTCCCCTCAAAACATTCTAAGGCCCGCCGGCAAAACGTACGTCGCTACATATTTAAAAGTTTCAGAGCGAGTCTTTGAATGCGAATAAGTCCAAGGAAAAAAGTTTTGAACAAAATATTTGCAATAGTAATTCAAATTTGCACATTTTAACTGATAAATTAGTCATATTGTCATATTTCCTGAAAACCGATTTAAAAAAACGCGAGTCATAAAAAAAACGCTTTATTGTTATTAAACTGAGCATTTTTGGAGAATGAGTAAATTAACAACTGATCCGATAAGACTGAACGGACCAACAGGAAGCATAAATAAAATTAAATGTCTCTTTTATGGAAAAAAAAGAAATTCTAATTGCAATTTTCTCCGTATGCAAAAAGATACGAAAAAGGTGATTGAAAATCAGACAAAAGTACAGCCTGTTATTTCAGAAAATTGAATCGACAGTTAATTACAAACTCCAATGAAAATTTCAAACATTTTCAATACCACGAACCCAGATGATACGCAAAAATTTGTATGCTTAAATTTGAACAGCATGATATGAAGAAAACTGGAAGCCCTGAACACTGTGCAAGTAGCACAGAAAGTTCCGAGCGCAGTTAACTCATCAACAACTTCTTCTAACCCTAATATTTGGGTAACTGAATTTGAGCTTTAAAAAACGAACATAGATGCAAAGCTGCACTTGCAAACAAGCAAAAATGGCGTGTGGAAGCTTTCAACTACAGCAACTTACCCAATTAGGCACCTAAATTGTGAAAAACAAACTTCAAAGCCGCCTACTGGATTCGAAGCACCGGCCTCAAGAGTTAGAGCCTGATGTTTTCAATAGCTCTTTATCGCTTTATTGTCTTCACATACCAGCCAAAAAGCAACCAAAGCAAATAAAATACATGCTATTAAGTCGCCAATGCTAAATTATCTAAATGATACCTTGCAGTGCATTTTTTGAGCCTTCACTTCACAAAATAGTTTAGCCTGGTAACAGGACTGCTATTACGTTTTTTTAATCACATAAACAGAGCATTTTCAAACACTGTGATAAATAGTTTTGACCATTGTATGTTTTTATCGGCTTAACATATTTCGTGATTAAGTTCGTTCTTTAGTGATTCTGCCATTTCGGAGTCGGAAAAAAATTAACACGCGAAAATCACGTGGAAACACCTGAATACAAAATTCCTTTTTTGATGTCAGTTAAGAAAAACATTAATTCTCTCTCTCTGGTTCTGTTAAAAACTATTGAGAGATCAGATATAGCAAAGAATGACTCTCGCTCTTGCTCTCTCTTTTTCTCTCAATTTTTTTCTCTCTCTCTCTCTCTATGTCTTTAATGTCTCTCTTTCTCTTCTTCTCGAGGCTGTTTGAGCCCGTTTTTCATCAGCACCACGAAAAAAAAATTTCCGCTCTTAAGAAGCAATTTCGAATAGAAAAAGCACGCAAATTAAGTAAATCTATTTGTAGAACATGGCAATCAACAAAATAAAGCAAAAAATATAGGCCATGAAGCCAAAAATATAGCGAAACGTTTAGTGGTACTCATACTTTAGCAGATCTATTTGTAAGACTTCAAAAATTAAAACATAACGACGCCCTATTTTTGGTCTGCAAAGAAGTTAAATTGCGTAAAATTTTTTGTCAATAATTAAACCGAGCTCAATAAAGCCGACAAAATAACAAATTCAAAATTGTGAGTTGATTATAACATAAAATTTTAGAACTAATTAATGAAACTTTCGAACATGCTTAGTTTATTTGATCTAGAACACGTCCAAATTTCAGCGGATAGTTTAGCAATAAAAGTTCGATCTGTTTCTACAGTAAAACAAATCAGCTGAATAAATAGGCATTATGAGAAATTTTGCACTGGATATTCCTACCGTTTGGAGTGTAGCTCACTGAATTCAGAGACAAGACTTCAAGGACATTCTAAAAATCGAGTGGAATCCAATTTTAAATTTCCGTGGATTCCGAGTACAAATAGTTTTAAACGTAAGCTTTGTCGGTTGGCTCATTAGTTGTGTTGCAAATTTTGCAATGAGCGAATATTGCGAAAAAATCTCCTCGGAGATCCAGCAAAATAAGCGGATTCAGCAAAATGAAACTGATTCTGCAAAAATGCAATAAATAAATAATGATTTTAGTGGATTTCAGAACTTGTAAGCAAATTCCGTAATTTTAAGCAGATTCCGCGAATCTTAAGTGTAAATTATAACGAACACATACCTGTTTACGGATTCAGCAAACTATTCTAGATTCCGCAATTTTTTTTCCAGATGCTGGAAATTTTACTGCTTTCGTAACAATTGAGAAATATTGTTTTAGCTATTTGTTCGTGGAATCCAAAACAGCAAAATTATCAAAGTAAAAAATTCGTGTCGAGGATTCCGCGACAAATTTGTTTTCAGCCTGTTGCGAAATCCGCATTCACTTCACAAAATAGTTTAGCCTGGTAACAGGACTGCTCTTACGTTTTTTAATCACATAAACAGAGCATTTTCAAACACTGTGATAAATAGTTTTGACCATTGTATGTTTTTATCGGCTTAACAATTTTCGTGATTAAGTTTGTTCTTTAGTGATTCTGCCATTTCGGAGTCAATTTCGAAAGAGTCAAAAAATCATTTATCCAAAAAAAAAACTTTTCGAAAAGGATTATCGAACTGGAAGTAGATGAAAATAAAGTTTTAATTTATTCTGGCTCTATACTTAATTTATTTGGATTTCAAACAATCAAGTAATTTTTATTCTATGTTCCGACCAGGCTAAACGAAAACTGTTCGACTGATGAACTTTATTTCGACTATATAATCGGTCGGACTGTTTATGTTCGACCGTGTAGTGGTAACTTTGGCCATGTTTGACGGACTAAACTACAGAATGTTAGAATAATTTCGACATTTTTTGGTTTTTTCGAGTTTTTGTTTGTACGATCTCCAAAATAGGTGGGAAGGACTTCTGATTCAGGTGTAATTTTACTATGCCAATTCAGGTACCATAAGTGGGCATTAGATGGGTTCGATTGATCCATAATAGTCAATTTCCTCCAATCACGATTCTAGGTTATATGGAACACGCTCAAAGTTTTATCTGGTTTTGAGAAAAAAAAAACAGTTTGTCTGAAGAGGGAAAAATGAAGAGTATAAAGTGGCGTCATCGTGACAAGTGCTGACTGTGAATAATTTTATAAGTAAGGTTAGCCAAAAAAAATCGTTCCACATGAATTTTATTACATTCCATTTAAAACTTTCGCTTTTAGATTTTTTCCGATTTTAAGTTATCACATTGATCAAGAACCGCAGTTTCTGTACTTTTTTTGCATTTATGAACTATATTTTGTTTGCTAGAATATACCAAATTATAACAGACTAGAGGATCAATTGTCATGTAAACTGAAATAAACGCAAAAGCACAATTATGGCTTAAATTATTCATCAGAGTTTCATCGAGTTTTTCATCAACTTACTTTTAAAGCTGACTGCCATTCAAGCTTTACTACTCTGTAGTATTAATTCGCAGGTGACAAAAAACTAAGTACGGGTAATTTTTTTTGTGGAAAAGGAGTTTTTCATTGATCAAAATTATGGGGTTTCGATAATTAGAGTAGGGAAAAAAAAAAACGTTTTTTTTTTGTAAAAATCAATTAAACTGCGTTTCTTCGAATTTTTATTTTTCGAAACCCAGCCTGTTTTTCATTCTTATACACTAATCGCCGCGGTTCCACTCCCAGATATCGCTAGTTTTTAGCGGAAAACATTATAAAATAATAAACAATGTTTTACATTTTCTTTTTTAAAACGTGGCTTCTTTGCCTTGTTTTAAAACACTCCCAACCTTTCGACAATTAAGTAATGCAGAGTATTTAGACATAACAACTTAATAAGCATCTGCATAACTTTCTTGGTTGAAAAAATTCCAATTAATTCAGGTTATTGGCGTCTAGTTCCTGTCAAAAACTGTTAAAAGTCAGGGAAAAGCAAAACGATATAAGCTAAATTTCATTGGTATAGACCCTCAGTCTTGTAAATAAAAGAAGCTCAATGAATAAAATATGAAACCATGTAACTTCATCAGTCAGTAATTTGGGTCGTTTGAAATTCTCTAGAACAGTCCTGATGATTCTGCCATGTTTGCAGCGGCTACATCTGTCAATTTATGCTTACTGATGTAATGTTTCTTCATATATGATTTAGTCTTCAATTTGACACTACAAATTTGACACTGCATCAATAAATCTCCACCCCCGAAATGTTTCAGCTGATAATGTGTCCTTAAATGGTCTTTTCTCGAAGCTACGTATGGACACATCTTACACGAAAAGTCTCCATCAGCAATTGTCGGAATCAAATTCAAGGTCTTCAAGTCTTTTTCTAAGACATTGAAACCACCTCTGACAGTCGACACTTTTCTCACAGCTTTAGCTCTTGGTTCCGGAACTAAGTTGTTAATCGCTCTTTTTCTTACAGCAGGGGTTAAGGGATCTTTTACAGTGTCGGAGCTTTCGATTAGAATCAATTCGCCAACAATTGAATGCGAGTCCTTATCTGATATGTTGAGAGAACGAAAAGGAGCCAATATGTTTTGACAGACGAAGTCGTACAAAGAAACGGTCAGTTCAATAGCCATTGTGCCTTGAAACTCAATAAAAAAAAATTTAAAAAAATTTCTGGCCCCATTAAGCTAAAATCCAAGTTTAACAGTCTAAAATAAAAACTGCGCTTGTTTCAACTATTTATGATGAAGGCAAGTAATTACCAACTATTCTAACTGTTTAAAAGTATTTCAAAAAATAACAAAAAGGAATAGTTAACTAGAAAAGCAGTCTAATTAATCCAGTCTGAAAATTAGCCTGAAAACGGAGATATCCAGACCAGTTTCTCTCGAAACATACAATTTTTTAAATCTTTTTGGAACCCGAATCACGGCTGAAAGGGGCTTCAATATGATACCACTCAAGAATACCTACAAGCTTTCTTTGAAGCAGTCGAAATCGGTCGGCAAAAACACAGTTGCTACTCAATAGTTCTTTCCGGTCACTTTCAGTAACGCTTTCGAATAAAATTTCTAGTTTGTTTAAAAAACATCGCCATCTCACTAAAACTTTTGCAATTACAGAGCATTCACTCTCTATCGTTGACACGTGTGTAGTAAAGCACACCACAGAAGTGATAATAAAATTCTCGTGATAATACAATTCTCGTAATACAATTCTCGATAACACAATTCTCGTAATTGAAGCCGTTGTTCCAAACAATTTAAGAGAAAAATTGCCCAGGAAAAGACTGAAATACAAGTAACATGTCTGTCGATTGACCGCAATGCAATTAACTTCTCGGCTGGTTTTAATACAGAGGGTAAGCTGCACTTCGCAAATACAAGAAAAAAACGGCCTAAACTTAGCTCTAAGAACATCAAAAAAATTAAATTAACGAAAACTTTCAAATTTCGAAATAAACATGCGAATCAGAACGTGCCACATTTTCTGATACAGATTAAAAAAATATCATAAATTCAAAAAAAAACGATATAATAACTTTTGTTTTCCTATATTGATTTTAAAAATTGTGAATCAAAACAAATCCAGCTCAGTAAGCTCATAACGAAATGAACTATCGGACGAAACAAATTTAAAAATTAGAGGCAAACCAAAGTTAAATCTTTCTCAATTATACAAAGATCACATCAAAGAGAATCGTCATAGAAAAGTTTGATAATCCAAAATGCCTGAGCGTTTTTCAAGATAACCATGGAAAAAGTCAACAAGGAACTCGATATGATGGGAAAAAAATATTTAAAAAATCAACAAAAAACGACGGTATGGATGCCCTGAAAAAAAAACATTTAGTTTGTCTGATCAATTTTTTATCTTAATTGCAACTCAACAGTAAGACGCGAAACACTTACTCAAAAATTGTATTTACTATTTGGAAATCTGTTATAAAAAGTTTCATAGCTTTATCCTCAAAGTCAAGGCATAAAAAATAACTAGCGCATGACTCACACCTCCGGTGCTTTGAATAGATTATTGAACGTGAAAAAAGTTTCTGTAAATCCATATCACAAAAAAACAATCATTTTAAACGCAACCGTGTAAAAAAAACAGGGCCCATTTATTAGCTGTAACGTCAATGAGACTTTTTGAAAAAAAAAATCATTCGTTTTATGGAACAATTTGAAAATTGATAATTAAAATTGTCATCTCGGCAACTGAAATCGAAAAAATCAAACAAAAGCCAAATTGGTAACACCCAATAGTACCCTGACAGCAGCATCAATATATGTGGTTGAAGATTTCAAGTTTTGTTAGTTTTAAAAATCTAAACATTTTGAGAACAATTTACAAAAATGATCACAAAGGTCAAATCTCAAACTAAACGGAATTAAGCAGTCAGACTTGCAGGTCAAATTTGCATCCCCACAGTTTACCCAGACAAAACCTCACCATAGGGTAGAAAGCTGCAAGTTTTGTTAATTGTTTTGAATTAAAGTTTTTTTGAAAAGAGCCATATCTCAAAAATCAAACGGATCATAAAAAGCTCCATATCTCAAAAATCAAACGGATTTGAGCAATAAAGCTTAGAGATCGGATCTGCAATCCCTGAATGTGACCAGGAATCATCCAACCATAGTGTTGAGATTTTCATGTTGAATTTGTAATTTTTCAATCGAAGCTTAAGAAAAGGATTTTAAAAGTTTTTTTTTAAATACAACAATATGGTATCTAATAAAGAATCTTCATCCCTCTTCAGAAAAGTAAATTAGCACTGGAGCTTCAAATTGAGATACCTTATTTTGCTGCATTCTAATTGGTTGGAAATTCAAATAACTTTATCTGCGTAACAATATTCTCCCCCTTTCTTGAATTAAAATTTTTTTAAAATAAAAAAATCATACAAAACGCCATTTCTCGGAAACCAAAAGGATTTGGGCAATAATATTTGAAGACCAGATGTACATTCCTGAGTGTACCCTGGCAGAACCCCACCATAGAGTAAAAACTTTCATGTCTTCTTAATGTTTTTTTTTGAAATCCTATCGAAAAAAGACAAAACCATAAAAAACGTCGGACCTCGTTAAGCAAAAGGATCGAGCAGTAACATTTTGAGGTCTGAATGGGGAACCCTGAAGGTAGTCTAACAACCTTAACTTTAAGAAAATCAATTTCTGCAAAAAAACACAGACGAAAATACTAATAAGTTTGCATTGCGAAAGAAGCTAAAAACTGTACAGCTAGTGCAAGCATGCTTCTCGAGATGTGTGGTTAGAATCGAGTATGACGTTTGAAATTGAAAACTTTCTAATCATTGCAAAATACAATTTAGCTTATACGTGTAAAAGTTTTTTCGTTACGCACGCAAAACTGATACGTTGAAAAAGCTTAAACAATCAACACTAAAACTTTGTTGAGTTTTATTTGTTGTCCAAATAAAACTTTCAGAAGAAAAAAAAAGTTAAATATTCAAACTGCTGAAATAAATTTAAAAAAACTTTGAGTAACAAAGAAAATCGCTCATTGAATGTGATGTGTCAACTAAACTGACAAAACATAAGCAGGCAAAACAATAGGCCGACTATTTTTTTAAACTAATTTTTTCACCTTTGGAAAAAAGGTCATGACCGGATACGAACCTAGGTCCTTTGCCATCTCAGGCGTCGTCGTTACCTCAAGACCAAGTTAATCGAAGACGCTGAAGAGATTGAACTTAATATAAATCAAGCCATCAAACTATTCAACAGTTATTCAACAACAGATTATTATACAAGTTGTTAACCAGATTTGATAATTGCAAGCGTAATGATCAAATTTATATACTATTAACAAAATTTAAATCAGGTGTAATTAGGTGTAGCACCAATCATGTCTTTCGACTTGTCGAATGATGTCTCCTCCGAAACTAACAATTAAAAACGCTACCTCGATGTCAACTATTGCCATTAAAAACACGGAACCTTCAAAACTCTGTGATTAAAATTTTAATGGGGACAAGCCAAGTGTCTCATTAAAAAACCATTCTCTCAGATGCAGAACCTTATCCATACTATAAAAATTTCAAGCGCAGTATCTGATTTTTAAAAAAATTAAGACAAAACGAGTGTGGCCAGTTTCTGTGCAAAAGATAAAGTGTTGCTACCACAGTATTTCAATAAAAAACATGTTTCAAACTCAATTTTTACTAAGTTATATTTTCGTACGACTGAATCAGCTTTAGAAACTTATGCCAAGCTGCATTTTGCAAACACAAGCAACGGTTAAAAATGGTGAAATAAAGAGAAATGTTTAACAAAGCTTCGAAAAATAAAAACTTTAGACACTCCAAACTGGAATCACCAACCTGGAGATTATTAGTATCACGTCCTCGCATCTGAGCCATTGTCGCTCAACAAAAAACACTAGCAATCAATAAAGCCGATAAAATTGATGCAAATAAATTGCTAATGCTATGTATCAAAGAGCACCTATATTAGTAAGTTGGGTTAAAAAAACTAAAAAATGATTCGTAATACACAGAGGCGAAGCGGAGCTTCGCAAGCATTGCGATACAAAAAAAAACATTGTGAATGGAAAAAAGAAAGAAGTCAAAAAAATTCTGGAAAACTAAGTTGAACACATTACTTAATAAAAAATTAAAAACTACAACAACAATAATTTCATGTTTGTATCGGATGAAGTTCATAATCAGCCAATAAAAAATCTTTTACCGAGCTGCAACATGGCGACAAACTTTGGGTCGCAAAATGTTGAGCCGAAAACAAAACTATTGTCATAATACATCGCATACGGATATATTTTGCCCGCAAAATTACCCAACATAAGTCGACCAAGCCAATATAACAAACTGAATCTCTTTAAATATTTTAAAAAATGAAAAAAAAACAGACTTGTTAAACTTACAAAATATTGAAAATTCAGTTAAAGTGACAATCTGTTTAAATTGGAAAAGAACCTATGCTTGAAAAGTAAGTCATTAAAAACCTTACCACATTAGTTAAAAAATGGTGTTTCAAAAGTAACGGAAAATGAACCGTTAGAAACTAGGACGAAAACAACGAACCCTACAAAATTGAGAAGTTTTTTTGTAAAAAAATAATTATATAATTCAGGGGCGGATCTAGGATTTTCTCGAGGGGGGGGGCGGATTTTCAAAAAAAAATTTCCAAAGTTTTGACCTTTTTTTAGGTCGACCAAATTGATTTTTCGAGCTCTCCCAAAGCACTGTTTTACCCCTATTTTGGCTAAATTTTCTGCGACGCAGGCAAATTTTTGAAAAAACAGTCAAAAAAGCCGTTTTTGGGCACTTTTTGAAAAATTTTGACAAAAAAAATCGTTTTTTTTTGGCGCGCGCTCCCCCTCAAAGTTAGTATATATTGGCGCCGAAGGCGCCTTTAGAAAAATTTTAGGGTCGGTCTGCCCAAAATGGATTTCTGAAAAAGTATCAAAGGGGGGACTCTTTGGGTCGGCAGGGGGTCGAATCCCTGAGGGGGGGGGGGAGTCCGCCCCCCCCCCCCCTAAATCCGCCCCTGATATAATTACCACCTGAAATGGGCTTTATCTAATTACAAGTTAAATTATAGTAGTTTTAATTGAATTTTCAAAAAATTGAGCATGTCAGAAGATGGAGTCCAATTGAGGAGGTCAATTGGCAGGATCATCGAGATAACTCTGCTGGTTACAGCAACATTAAGTTAAATGAATGTTGAAATGTCAGCAGTAAAAATCCCTCACCCTATACATAAACACTTCTAGTATTCCTAACTGGTAGAATTCTCTACAAGGTATCACATGAGAAAGATAATCAAAAGATCCGCAATATGATTAAATTTAGAATTTGGTAATAAAACTATGAACTCACGAGCACCGCATTATCATCTCATGGGAATTTAACTATCACTTCATAAACATTTAACTACCATTTCGTGAGCAATTAACTAATATCTCGAGAACAACTAACTGGTCTTAAAACTAACACAACCAATTTTAACCACTAATTAAGCCCTTCAAAAAAACTTTTAAGCACTGGAAGAAACACACATATTTGAAGCAGCCATATCTGTCAGTTTATGTATTTTAATATAATGCTTCTTCATGTAAGACTTGGTTTTCAATTTTATTTCGCAAATTTGACATTGCATTATCAAGTCTGCTCCTCCAAAATGCTTCAACTTATAATGCGTCTTCAAATGACCTTTCTGTGTAGCTCTATAATCACACATTTTGCAAGATAAATCTGTACTTTCGATTTCCGGCATCAACTTCAAACTTATTAAATCGTGTTCTAGCAAAGCAAAATTGCTTTTTTGTCTTGCAAATTTATTTGACGTTTTCTGAACTTTTGCAAATTTTGGAGCAATGCTAATGTTCGATTCAGGTTTTCTTTTTTGAACAATTTCTTGAAATAGAGCACTCGATTCGGACGTGTTTATGGACGGTATAAAGTCAACCTCGCCCAACACTTCGCCGTTTTCTTTACCAGTAAGGTCCAGTGATATCCGATTGCTTAGATCAAAAACCGGAAACTTCAACGATATCTTCAGCTCAATTGAATCCATCGTTTTCTTAAAAACTTGCTGAAACTCAACTTTAAACACAAAGTGTCGGATTTCTGAATCTCTCAAAAACTGCGGAGAAAAACGAAGATAAAAACAATTAAATTTACAACAAACAAACAAAATCGGAGACAGAGGACTCACTATATGTACATCTAATGTGTTTAGAATCATTTCACAATTAAATACATTTATAGCCAAGGTGAAAAACAAAAAGCCTCGCAAAACTTCACATCTGAAAAGCACCAGAAGTTGCCTATTCGGTTTTTATTAATACTCAAAACCCAATAGAGCCATCAAAGATGAATAGAACTTACGGCGGAAAAAGAAAAACAATGCTCACAATTCCTCTGCGTAGCAAAAACGGAGAGACAGTTTTAAAATTAGCACCAACCTTTTACAGGCAAATCTCATCAAAAGAAAACCTTGCACTCATTAAAGCAATCAAAATAAACGCAAAATACACAATCATTGCACTCAATGAAGTTAATTCCCAGAGAAAAAGAAATACCTCTTAATTTCAATCGAAAACAACTTAAGCTGACATAATTGTAGTCAACGCGTCTAAAAACTTGACTAAGTCTTCAGTTCTGATATCGATAAAGTTGTTTTCAAAGTATCCGTTGTAAAACCTCGCTTTTGTCATGTCAGCTGCTGTTTCGAACGCCTTTCCGAAAATATTCGAGTATTTTTCCTCCATCAAAAGCAGAGGAGGGAGGCCCAGGACAACTGTGTTCTCAGCATCCGTCGAGGAAGGAGCTGTGATGACGAAACTTTTGTTCCCCAGTCGCGTGTTGCTAGATACTATGCAGTTGACAACGTACAAGCCCAGTAGTTTGAAAGAGTTGAAATTTGCAAAAAATTTGGCGTCTTTGATACTGGCACTCATTGAGACTAGCACGAATTGACCTGTGTTTACAGCACGATTTGTAGACAGGACGTTTTTCGTCTGAAAAATATATATTGTGTATAACTATCACTTTGCTTCAGACTTTAAAAAAGCTACTAGTATATACCAAACTTGGATCTACATAGATTTTTGAAATATTACACTCTTAAAAGATTTTTTTTTGAATTAACAATCAGAAAGGATTCGCAGACATTGACCTAGAAATTAATAGTAAGAGCATATTTAGCCGACAACTAAAAAACTGGTGGTAGTAGCAGGTAAGATAATTCGTTCTGATAGATGTCATATAACTTTCACATGTTCAGAACCGATTTGATCAGTAGAAATAAAACCTTCGACTAGAAGTGTAAAAAGAGTATCGTTTAAAAAGACAAACTTATAATATGAAGCAAAACAATTCGGATAGACAGATTTAAGAAGAATCAGCCGAAAAAAAATTGCATGCAAACTGAAAATTTTAGGAAACCTTGAGACATCAAGTTTGACTGAAAAAATAGCTTTTGCACGCAAAAACTTTCTGAAATAGCTCATTGCTCTTTCAATTAACTATCCCAACTGTTTGCAACTCCCCATACCTGTTCACAAACGGCTTGAAGGAGAATCTTCGCCTTTTCAATCGAATCCGCTACCATATTGCAGTTTGTGTAAGACATGGCGTCGAGGGCATTCATGAACCTCTCAGTTGGACTCGTGTTTGCGCCCGAAGGGTCCTCCAAAAGAGCATTCATCGCAATCGTCACATCCAGGGCACTGAATTTGTTCATCACTCCGTATTGTGCCGTGAACGAACTGAACCAAATGTTCGACTTGATTCCCTGTCTATACAACCGTTCATACGTTGCTATGATTTTAGAGCTGCACTCTTGGCGAACCTTAGTATCGATCGATTTGAATTTGCGCTTGCAGTTTTGTAAAGACAGTCCAATAGACGAGAGGAAATCGAGATGTTTACGCTGACCTTTTAGGCTCCATAATTTAAATTGCGACATCGTAAACAGTGATGAATAAAAACTATTCCATATACTCCAATGCCTGTACAAATACAATCTTAGCTCTCGCTCTGAGCTGATCTTCATACAATCTACAGATACTATAGAACTAGGATCATTTTCCATCCAATTGTTCAAACGCCTGACATGGGATCCCAAAAAATCTCTTTCGTTGAGGTAGTTGGTTCCACTTTTACTGACTCGATTCAAGAAGTACTGGTCAGTAAGACCTATGATTCCCAACCACAGCAAATCATTCGTATCTTTTGAAAGCAGCCATGACAACTCGTACGCTATCTCTGCCGAACTACAACTAAAGAAGGTCGCCTCTTCATACGCTCTAAGAACCTGCGTCCGTTTGTCTTCCCATTGGCGTCTTTCTCGCTGCTTTTTCGCCAGTTTCAAATACTTCTCATCGTCGAAGCCTTTCTTTTTCTTACGTCTCGAGGAGCGTTCTGAGTTTTCTGGATTATCTGGATCTTGGTTCTCATCATTGACCGTTTCGGTTTCGTCGTCCGAGGATCCTGCCGTGTCTTCTAGACCTTCATCAACGTCACTCTCGTCTTCCTCGTCTCGGAAAACATCCTCAAACTTCGGAATTTCTTCGATCGCTTCTGTGTCTCGGATCAAAACGTGGACCTGCTCTGAGAACACATTCGTCACGCAAATTGGCCTATGAGCATCTATGACGTAGAAATTAATCATCCCCGGAGGCCTCAACAGCTCTAAGAGGTCTATTGTTGCTCCACAATTGATGAGCAAATAATCATTGCAATGTTCTCTGTGGTCTAAATACGCTTTCTCGATATTGTCCTCTGAGAATACTGGTACTAATGTGTATTGAATGCTGTCTGTTTTGAACAGGGTGATTAGAATACGACAAGCAGCCACGCTGTCTACTTCGAAGCTCGAGAGTAACACCACTCGTTTATTCTGCAGCTTCGCGTAGAAGTCCTTTTTAAGCTGCTTCGTAAGCATCAAAGCATCTGAAAGAAGTCAGAATTGAAAATGAATATAGCATTCAGCAAGAAAAAATGAGTTTCCAAAACTGAAAAAAAACTACAAAATATTGAGTTGAGCTAAACACATTTGCTAAGTAGCAAAAGTTATATGGTTCTCGATCTATTTGAAGACAATGACTAATATCGTTAAATTGCAATTATATTCAATTTAGATTGCTTCCTGCTTTAAACTGTGAAAGCACTCGGCAACAATTTGCTTACAAATATCCGGGGGATCCCATTTGTTTAATGGCCAATCCAAAAGTTCCATCATATCAGCTAAATTGGATCTCCCAAGATCTCCGATATCATTACAACATTGTGTGAAGTCATTTAAGCTCTTGTACCGAAACATATCTAGTAATATTTTCTTCCTACGCGTCATTTCTTTAGAAAGATTCTTCAAATTAAAGGACTCTACATTCTGATAATTTTGAATTTGTTCTTTGATTAGATTCCTCAATAAAAGATCAGCTTGATGATGAAAAGAATCAACACCACAAACTATCTTTTCAGATACTTCGATGCGTTTCAAAGGCATCCGTAATGCAAGCTGAAACACATTTTCAATCTTTTCCACGTCTAAGTCGTCATCAAAACTATCTGAGATCGATATTGATATGCTATTGTGTTCCCATTTGTTTTTCATCGGATCTGGCTTTTCAAAACGACTCCTCATTCTATCAAACGCCGTTCGTGGTACCAAAAAATCAGAACTAATTTCATTTCGTTTCGATACTCTTTGCCAGCAAACAGAAACTTCCGAGTCCAGGAATATTTGACAAAATCCCACTTCCAGAGATCTGGCTAGTTGGTAGTATGTATACCTCATGCTCTGCAAGTACATGTTATCGTCAATCAGAACTATTGTCGACGGAGACGAACTTTCATTCAACAATTTGAATTCATTGACAGCTTGACGACACTGGTCGATGATTTGTTGTCTTCGGTGCTTCCAAGAAAGCATAGTGAGGTCAGAATCAGGAAGTATCAGTTTGTCATAGGTGAAGATTCTAACTGTGTAATCCAGGGATAATTCGTTCAGTAGCTTCTCAGCCAGTGTGGTTTTACCAGCACCTGAAACATTCATAAGCTCTTTCTCTCAAAATCATATTGCCCATTTGCTTGTTCCAGACTTGCACTAAGCTATATCTATATTTGTTGCGCAGCTTCTAAATCATTGTTCGACCACTTCACGAAATGGAAAGTAATAAAAAGGGATTTCTTATCGTAACTTTCGGTACCCCAAATAAATTTAAGAAAACTGAAGGTTTTCAATTATGCTATCTCATTGAAGCCCTATTAATTACATCATGTAAAAAAAGCCAGTATTGAGAAAAAAATCTGTTTTTCAGACTGATGTCTTTATGGGAAAATCGAGTCACTTCACAACGAGAGTCACATATTGTTCCGACTACGTGAAGGTCACAAACAATCATCCGCAAACAAGCAACAACACATAAGATTTGAGCGCTTTTGACTCTTTTTCACTCCCCCTATTTGAAATTCAATGTTGAAAAATCACTTTAACATTATTATAATGTAATTAAATATGGCATGGTGAACAAACTGAAACTACTGATTGTAAACAGATCTGTTCCTCACACTTTACATTGTAACATCACGCATTTAGCCATAAGATTTAAAACGTTAGCTTAGAAACTAATTTGATATTTTATGAATACTAATTTCCGCCATTGACTATTTCTTTATAACGAAGCAATATTGAAAGATCATAAGACACAACGTTTCAGCGACGCCCACTTCACCCGATGTGTCTCAAAAACAGAACATTGTGCGTTCTGTGCTCTCCCATGAAGTCCGAAAAACGAGTATAATTTGCAGTTCAAAAGTATCAAAAATAGCGAACAGACAGTTATGAAATGCCAATGAACAAGGAAACCAAGAAGGATAACCGGTTATTGAGCAAGTAAGCACATAAATTTCCGATAAAAAATATTTCTTTGTTTTTAAAATTGTATCGGTTTTTATTTTTGGTGTGATGAGAGGATCTGAACGCGTTTTTTTTTAATTTTGGTGGTTCAAACGATAAAACAAGAGGCAAGTAAACAGATATAACATCAGTCGAAACCATCTAAGCCAAAAAAACCTGTAAATGAAAAAAAAAACACGAAAAAAAGAATAAGCCAGAAACGGAAACTAAAAACAAGAGTTGATTTACAGGTTTCCCACTCTTTAACCTCACGATATTTAACCCCCTATGTTTACACCCCCTATTTCATAACCCCGTAACATGATAACCCCACAACAATTTAACCCCCTTTTGATGACGAAAATTTGTTTCAAATTAAGTCCTTTTTATAAGTACAGGAGTAGTTCAATTAAGTTTACTAATTGAGGCCTGCAAAGCTAGTCTTAGTTCACTTGATGCCTCTAGCATCTCAAAAACGATGGCATTTCGATTAGTTAGAGAAATACTCTCTCACTCACGCGTTTAAAACAGAGATCACCTACATGGTGCTAATTGAAGGCAACAAAAGACGTTTGTGAGTTTTTTAAAGAATCATACTGCCTATTTCTTTAACCATTGTTATGCCACTCTATCAGATCAGATATAATGTTTGAAGCGTCATTCCATTTTACTTTATCTTCGAAAGACAAACAAATGCTAGTGGTATCAGGCCACGAGTATTAACTTAAACGCAAAAACAAGACAACAACAAATTGGAACTGCTCGAAGTACCAAGCCCATAAATGCCGCGCAACAGCAATTGCGGGTGGAGAAAACGAGGGGTCAACATAATCACGATATTTCCACGGGCAAACCTGATGCTCGACTAATTTTGAAAAAAAAATCAAGGATCTAAGCAATAGTAATACCCCAAACGTCGCAGTCGCAACCGCAACCGCTATTCAGCCCATTACAGATGACATTGCCACTCATCTAGCCCTATCAACCAAAGAAAACTTAGTTCGCACCGTACGAGCGCGCAAGCAACGAGAAGAAGTCTTACCAGTCTCCCCAGCAACCAGAAGTTTCGAAATAATCGAACTTTTCAAAAATTTTATAAGATTTGACGGTGGGCAAAATGATCACGAGAGGATTATTTTATTCGGCGACCTTAAATGCTACGTGTGCTTGAAACATCCAACTTTTGGTTGGCTGATAGAACTTTCAAAGTCACCCCGATGTTTTATCAACTTTACTCCATACAAGTTAGTCTTTCAGGAATATATGCGTTCCTGCCAAATAAAACAGTAAAAACTTACCATCATTTCTTAGAAGCCCTAAAAATATTAGCCCCTGATACTAGACCTAAAAAAAATTTGCTGAATTTTGAGCAGGCCGCTATTCAAGCGTTTTAGAAAAACTTTTCCCGAGTCCAAGCTGTCGGGATGTTTCTTCCATCTTTCACAAAGTTTTATGAGAAAAACTCAAAATGTTACCCGCACTGTCTTTTGAAAAAGAAGAAATAGGAAATTCATACAAAAAAACAGTGGAGGAAATTCAAATAGTTTGCAATCGCACCATAAAAGAGCCGGAAAAAATAGCAAAAGTTGACGAGCTTTACCTTTATGTTGGATCTAACTATATAAAAAGTCTCGTCCCGAATCGAGAAGTCCTATTCCCTCCTTCATTATGGAATCAAAGGGAAGCGGCATCATCGGGTTTGGCCAGAACAACAAATGCTGAAGAGGACTGGCATTATGGCATACAGTCATAGTTCAGTGGATCGCATCCCAGTATATGGAAAGTGATAGCAAATTTGCAAAAAGACGCTTCCGTCCAAAAATTTTATTTCTATAACGCCTCGAGTGGGCACCAATTTACAAAAAAGAAAAAACACCGGGTGCTCAAAGAAAAAGTGCAGAATATTATGCAAGTTTACTAAGAAAAAACGGATATGCATTTCTTTCGCGCTATGGTGAACTTGAGTTAAATATTTGCTCTTTTGTATATATTTTCAATTTAAAACTTTGTTTGTCAACTTTTTTGAGAAAAGACGTCTCCTTGCAGCCTCCCGGAGACGTTAAAAAACGCATTGACTTGACTCGCATTTGAAAAATGCTGTCTCTAGCAAATTAAACCCGGAACAATCGCTCCTTTGGATGGGACGCTAGGTTGGGACTAGGGGCTGACAAACCCTTTAGACATTTCGTTGTATGCCGACAAATAAAAAAAATGACAAGTTTGGATGGTTCGAAAAAAAGGATAAGTTTTACTTAAAATGATCGGTATTTCAATTTAAAATGGTCTGCTTAGATCAACTTTTGTGTCACAACCAGTTCTCATTCCAGATTTCATTGAAATTCAACCAGTTAATCTTTTATGCGCAGGAATTGTTTCAAGATCAAGTTCAGTTTTCGAAAAATCTAATCAGTTTTGGTAACTAGTTTGAATCATGTCGGTCCGATTAGTATTCAAGTTCATATTAAAGTCTAGACTATCGGCAAGGTGATTTCTGTTCAAATCTAAAACGCATTTAGCAGCGTGCATGTTAATTCAGTTTGGTTCGCAAAATTTTTCGCAATTAAAGCTTTGATGTTTACCGACGATATGGTTCCGAATCCCTTTCAAGTAAGTTCACTTTGATTATAACAATAGGTATTAAAAAGGGGTTAAATTGTAGTGGGTTTATCTAATTTCGGGGTTATGAGAGGGGGTTAAGAAGAAGGGGGTTACAAAACATGTGGTGATAAGCTTGGGAACCGATTTGCAACCAACAAGGAACATTCAAATGGAACGGCCCTTTAAAATGCAGAGATGCTCAAAAATACCTGCTGCCAGTCAATCTATTCTGCTGATTAAATCATATGGTAACTGATATGGCATTCTGCTCATATGGTAACTGATCAACCGTATTTTTTAAACTAGTTTTTACCCCGAAAAAAAATCCATATTTCGATTTTAAAAAAAAATGGAAAACTTGTCTGATTAATCTTACTTATTTTCTGAAAAAGGCGCAAAACATTTCCGAACTTATAAATTTGCACGGCTTAACTAGAATAAAAAGCAATTATAAGACCTAATCGCTCACTTTCCTCGCTTGAAATGAGATTAAAGCAAACTGGAATATATATTTGAATTTTTTAAATGTCACTCGAATTACGACTGGTAAGGCTTTAATATGATTGAACACTCTCGAATTACGACTGAAAAGGCTTTAATATGATATAACACTCAACTAGTTCAAATAATTATTTGCGGTACCTTATTTTGCTTTGAAAACAAAAAAAAATCAAAACATACCCGAAGACAAAATTCCTATTTTCGATTGCTGGAACAATGATTGACTATTTTTTGCACCTTTTTCAACTTTAGAACTTCGGAAAACATAATGGAGATGATTTTTTTTATTGCGCGAGCCTTATTTTTTTGCTGAAACTAAGAAGGTTTTTGTTAAGTCTCACCATCCAGCCTCAGCAAAAAAAAACCCATAGGAAGAAATGCGCTTTATTTCTTGACACATTTTTAAGCTGATCATCTGTTTCCTCGAAAAAATGCTCATCTTGTTAACATTTGATTTGAATTTCTTCACATTTGAGAAATTGTTCCAAAAATCAAACCTGGCAATCCACAGAGAAGACATATCGCTATGTTGTTTTGCGCCGTCATGAAAGTTTTCTCAGTTGATATCAGTATGGACTGCCTCTCTCAGTTGATATCAGTATGGATTGCCTCTCTCAGTTGATATCAGTATGGATTGCCTCTCTCAGTTGATATCAGTATGGATTGCCTCTCTCAGTTGATATCAGTATGGATTGCCTCTCTCAGTTGATATCAGTATGGATTGCCTCTCTCAGTTGATATCAGTATGGATTGCCTCTCTCAGTTGATATCAGTATGGATTGCCTCTCTCAGTTGATATCAGTATGGATTGCCTCTCTCAGTTGATATCAGTATGGATTGCCTCTCTCAGTTGATATCAGTATGGATTGCCTTTATCTTCAGCGTACCAAAACTTGAGCTCCACAATCTGCCCTGTTTTCTCAACAGCAATTTTTTCGATGTGCTTTGCCCACAGACGTCCCGCTATTCCGTAGAGCAGACAAGGAAAGCCAAAGTTGACTACTTTGAGTGCAGTAAATAGATAATTCTCTACCGACAAATCCTGAAACACCAAAAGAATCTATGAACTCTGTAATAGTTTAGTTTAGAAGACCATGACAGCTTCAGCATGCTCAATCTGTAAAATGATAAACATAGCCAACAGACAGTTGGAAAAAGTCAATGAACGCAAAAAAAAGAAAAAATATTGACTTGTTTTTTGAAAGAATTAAAAAATACTGACTTGTTTTTTGAAAGAACTTCACTTTCAAATTTCAAAAAATATTTATGGCCATAAAGCTCTTCGAATTTTAAAAACAATTTATGATTGACTCTTTTTTGAAAAAAAAACTAACCCATTTAGGATAACTGGATGAATAGTAAATTTTTTATTTTGCCAACAAATCTGAAAATAAATCCACTTTCGAAATTAGAATTCGATCACGTGTTTCGGGACTTTTACACTTTTGCTTTTCGATAGTGGAGTTTGCCTTCCTTTTAACAAAAGAAATGAACTGAACTTAAAAAATCAAAAGTCAAACCGTGAAAAAGTTCCTGAAAAAGAACAAACAAAAACAAGGATAGTAACAAACAAACATAGCCAATCGAAGATTGGAAAAGAGTAACGAACGCAAGTAAACACAAAAAAAACACTAAATTTTTTTTAAAAAAATCATAACTTTCGAATTTCAAAGAAAAAATAGATGCCCTAAAAGCTCTTTGAATTTCTAGAACAATTTATGACTGGCGCTTTTTTGATAACATGAACCCAAGTAGAGAAAACTGTATCAATAGGTTAAATTTTTATTCCGCTGGAAATCTAAAAACTAAATTCCCCTTTTGAAACTTGAAATCTTTCATCTTTTTTTTTGCGCCATTTCCACGTTTGTATTTGGAGAGTGCTATTTATGTCGCTTTCAGCAGTTGAATTTCAATTGAACTCAAAAACGCATATATAACTAAGTGCATTCATAAAAGCATCAATATGTATGAATGCACATCTGTTAGTTATTAGAGACTTTTATGCACATTTAAAGACTTTTTCCTGAAAAAAAAATCAGCGAAGTCTTCACTACGTTCATTACTCTAAATAGATGGCCTTAAAGCTCTTTGAGTTTGTGGAACAATTTATGATATACACTTAATTGTTAAAATTAATTCAATTGGAGAAAAATGGATCAATAGGTAAAGTTTTTATTCAGCTGAAAATATAAAAACTAAATTCCCCCTTTGAAACTTGAAATCGTTCACGTTTTTTTGCGCCATTTCCACATTTGTATCACTTTTAGCAGTAGTTATTAGATACTTTTAAGACTTTTCCTGGAAAAAAAAACAAAAAAATATCAACAAGACCTATATAAGGGTCTTCACTACGTTCATTACTCTTAAAAACAAATGATATGCTTTTAAATTGCGATACATAGTTCCATTATGAGCGCTATTATAAGTGCGGTAGGAAAACGTCAGCGTTTTTTTATCGAGAACAACAGACGGTCACCAACCTGATATGGTCGCTTGGAACAATGGAACTTGACATACGGGTAACACCTAGTTCTCAGAACATGATAATTCACGCCGTTGTTCTTCTTTTCATTTTCTACAATGAAATTGTAATGAGACAGAGGAAAATGATCGTCAATAATGTCACTCTGTAGAATAAAAAAGGCAGTCCAAGGCGGGTAGTTGTGAAGAGATAGATATAGACATAGAAGCTCTGAAGATTTAACTTTCGACACTGAATTCAGTCGCATAAACCTAGATACAATTTTGAGCATTCTCAATACTTAACATTCATAAACTGAAACCACGCAATAGCTATAGCTTGAAAAAAAAACGTAAGTTCAATTTGGCCCTCAATTAAATTTCACTCTAAGGCCAAAAAATTTAGCTGAAACAGAAAAGAGCGTTTGACAGCATGAGAATGTCAAAATCTAACCAACTTCAAATATAATTGAGGGACTATACTGGAAGCCAAATAAAACTTACAAAAATATACTTCCAGAGAAAAAAATATTACAGTTTCACAAAAGAGCCACACAGGGAAAAGCATTCAGACTTTTGGCAGTTCCACATGACGAAGAATCATCAGCTGACAACTGTTTCACAAAAAGGTCGATCGTGGCTTTCATTTTATCAGAATACTCTTTGTGCTTCTCATATCTATTTAGGATTTCCTCCGTTGTCAAATTACTCAGATGCTCATGTGTCTGGCTTTGTGACTGTTGTTGCTGTTGAGGTGTACAGAACTTGTCCATGACCTTGAGCTGATTGGACCAATCAATGGACAGTTGAAGATTCATCTCGATCTGGTCCAATACTGACTGAAACAATCAGAAGTATTCAAGAAGCACTGAAGCAGTATTGCATAAAATGCAGATGAGACGACTCAGAATGTTACCATAGCTTTTTCTTCAGTGTTTTTTATCATATTATACTTCTGTATTAACTATGAATTTTTATTTCTTCAATGAAACTAAGATTAGCAGGAATTAGCAGGATTTACTCGTGGAGAAGTATTTACCATAAGTTCTGTTCAATGATACAAAGAAACGAAGCTGCACCTCGCAAACACAGGGAAAGAAAACACAAAAATACAACAAGGATAACCGGTTGCTGTGCAAGTATCACAGAATGTTCCGACCATATTCATAAAAACTACAAATAAAAAGTTCAACTTTTTAATTTCTTCAAATTAGTTTCGTTTTTTTTTTGTACCTGGTGTGATGAGAAAACTCTGAACACGAGTAAAAAGTAAGTAAACATGCCAAGCAAGACATTTGACACTCACTGTCAAGCAAGACATTTGAAATTCAACCTAGCAACTGAACAAAATTTACGAAACGGAAACAAGGCCGACAATCTTTAAGCAGACACCAGTTAAGCCGAAAAAAAAAAACAGTCAATTTGTCAAAAAAAAATTCAAGTTTCAAGCCCCCCTGAAACTACTCTATATTAACTAGTACCCATCCAGTAGCTACAATTGAATTTTCATAAAATAGAGCATGTCAGCTGCATATAGCAGCATCATAAGCGATTCAACTGATTTTGTTAAACTAGTTGTTAACACAAAACTACAGTCTGAATTGATAACGTAAGAAGATCTTGATGTCCCACATCATCTGATTATTTTGACCACACAAAATTGGGACCCTGTAAGCTATTCCTCCACTATTGGACAGAGGCGAAGCTGCGCTTCGCAAACACTAGCCAGAATACGACCAAAAGCACTCTATAAAGTGCAGAAGAAAAAATTAGAAATAAGCCTCGAATTAGTACAAATTCGGCTACGCCTGGGATTTGAACCTTCGACCGAGAGATTATGAGTCTCACACACTAACCACTCAGCCACGGATGCCTAATTAATAATAAACATAGCCAATCGAATACTGGAAAATAGTAATGAATGCAAGTAAACAAAAAAACACTGAATTTCTTGAAAAAATCTCAACTTTAGAATTTCAAAGAAAAAAATAGATGCCCTTTAAGCTCTTTGAATTTCTAGAACAATTTATGATTGGCGCTTTATTGATAACATGAACCCAGATAGAGAAAACAAGATCAATAGGTAAAGTTTTTTTTCCGCTGGAAATCTAAAATTAAATTCCTCTTTCGAAGCTAGAAATCGTTCACGTTTTGCGCGCCATTTTGATAGTAGATCAATAGGTAAAACGTTTTGCGCGCCATAGATCAATAGGTAATTTTTTTTTCCGCTGGAAATCTTAAAATTAAATTCCTCTTTCGAAACTAGAAATCGTTCACGTTTTGCGCGCCATTTCGACGTTCGTATTTGGAGAGTGCTATTTACAATTGAACTCAAAAAGTGCATTTATACATAAGTGCATTCATAAATGCATAAATATGTATGAATGTGCATCTGTAGTTTTGGAGACTTTGATGCACATTTTAAGACATTTTCCTAAAACAAAAAAAATCAGCTAGACCTATATAAGACTATTAAACACTTACCACAAACAAAACAGAGAACAGATGCTATGCAATTTCCAATGCAATCAGTGAAATTTCTATATAAGTGAACACTTTCAATGAAAACTTTTATTTGCGAGTTAGGTTAGAAAAAAAGAAGGTTCGTCTTAATACACTAACACGCGCAAGCTCGCCAGTGTGAATAGGAGAAAACATTTTAAGCGGGAACAAATTCGGGCTCTTTTCCAGATCTCACCCCCTTGGCTTTTTCCTGAAATTAGTTTCATGAAAGTCTCTTTAAAATGACTTTTCATGTTATAAACTGCATCAAAACATTTCTTACATGCAAACTGCCGTGTGAACAATTTATGACCAATTTTATTTAGATATTTTACGAGGGGGTGGGAAACTGGAAAACAGCCCAAATTCGTATACTCTTATTAAACCTTTACCGCTGGTTTACTTCGATAATGGGGTACGAATTCTTTGCTAGCTACCGTAGCATAGGGATAAGGATGACAAAAAATATCCCGAAATTGACTTACCGTGCATTCTTAGGGGAGGGATATTAACAAGTTCGCGAAAAAGACTCACCATGCATTCCTCAACCGACTGACCGAATGCAATATTACTGTTTTCATTCGAACTCGAGTCTTTATCACCCCCACTCGCACTACCAGCAGTCGTCACATCAGTGGCCCCGTTGTCCCGCCCTCCTTGACTGTTCACTGCCGTGATGCAAGTCGAAAACACCTGAGAAAAAAGTAAACGTCTGAGAGAAAAAAAACTTGACTACTATTTCTAGCAGTGTCCGATGACAAATGTCGAGTTGCGGAGCGTTTTTGACAAAATATTAAAATATTACTAATCAAGCATTCTAAAAAGTACCAATTTGAACCGGTTCAAAAAATTTCTAATAGTTCACGACTTTGATTCAAAATTTGTGTTTACAAAATTATTACATAAAAATGTTTAAAAAATGACGAGCAAAATGCTTTTTTATTTTATCAAATGGCGTTTGCTTCAAGTATCAATAAAAACCAAATCAAGTATCAAATCTTTTCGTAGAAGTAAGACTATTACTCTGCAATTCCAAATAAGAGGGGATCATAATACGAGAGTTCCAACTTAAAGATGATTCTTTGTGCGAAACAATGCAAAAAGTTCCAACCAGTGGCCCTTGTATAAGATTCGCATGTCCATTCGACGGATATAATTATACAAGTTTTTATCTTCTACAAAGGGGCCAAGCGGAGCTTCGCATCACTTGCAATACAACAAAAACATTTAAAAAAAAAACATTATCAGTTCCAAAAAAAAACGAAAAATGTTGGAAAAAAACTAGGTCTACTAAAATTTTGGTATGTCTCCATAAAATTTTAATCTAGGCAAACATGCCAAGCAAAACTTTTAATTTTAAAGAATTTTAAATTATCAACGGAACAAAATGACGAAACGGAAACAAAGCCGATAATTCTTGAGCAGACACCAGTTGAGCCGAAAAAAAATTTATTTTGTATAAAAAAGTTTCAAGTCGCCTTAAAATACAATGACTAACACTTGCAACTATAATGACCATAGCCAACTGACAGTTGGAAAAGAGAAATGAACGCAAAAAAGCTGACTTGTGTTTTGAAAAAAACTCAACCTTCGAATTTCGAAGAAAAAATAGATGGCCTTAAACCTCTTTGAATTTCTATAACAATTTATAATTAGCACTTTTTTGATAAAGCTAACCCAATTTGAGAAAACTGGATCATTGGGTAAAATTAGGACAATTTTTAAAACTTTTTCCTGAAAAAAAACCATAAAACAAATCATCGCGACCTATATAAGAGTCTGAATCACGTTCATCGAATTAGAAAAACTGTCATGGTCTCGATTTCGGACGCTTGATCATTCGCGACATAGCACCGCTCCTTACCACCATATTACTGGACGCACATTTTCCTGAAAATTACCTTCATCGATAAAGCAAGCTATCAAACGATTCGCTTAAACTAGATAACTAGAAAACAAACAGCGGGCGGCGGGGGGTGGGGGGTCAATAAAGCGGGTGTTTTGCCTTTTTTGGTAACAAATCAGTTGGCATGATGGAGACTCCTTTATGAAAGGATAGTAAACAGTACCTTGTGAAGAGACTCTTTCAAGTGCTTCTCAGAGAGTACCTTCAGTCTGCTTACAACATCAGTGGCTCGCATTTCTGCAGTGGCCGATGATGGATTCGAGGATGTGCTTGATTGATTTTGTTGATTGTTTCCAGAAGAAACTAGTTCGTTCAGTACGCGGTAATTCAACTATTCAGAGAATATTTAATCTTCAAATGGCAAAACTTCAAATGATTTTTTATGTAAAAAGTCGGGTAAACTCTATCAAGAATACACGAATTCATTAACATCAAAAATGAGCAATTATGTCACTATTGATTTATCACAATTAGAATGAACACAATTCTCTTACTTCGTTAGCTCCTACTTAGACGCCTTTTGTCTGAATTACCGGTACTAGCAGTACCACTGTTCTGCTGCGGTTGTTGTTGCTGCGAGTTTGGAATTTGGCTTTGAGGGGTAATTCTAACGGACGTGTTATGAAATTGAGAACTCGTTGAGATACTGCTCGGGACGTTTTGAATTCCACCTGTCTGGGGTTGCATCTGTGACATTGCGACTTGTGGCTGCGAGGGATTCTGCACATTTGGATCATAATATTGAGCCCCACTAACTCCCAAATTGATATTTTGGCCTTGAGGGATTTGACCCGGGTTCGCACCAGCAATCATGGCTCGGTTGCGCATCAATTGAGCCTGTTGCTTAGCATTCATCTCTATCTGCAATGTACATTTGACAAAATGAGTGTTGCAGGGCCTGAAACGCACATATATGCGGTTCCGCGGCCTTTCTCGGAAAATTTACAGAAAAAGCAAAAACAGACAAGGTTGCCTCCATTTTTTCGCTGTTTACAAATATGTATTTGTCAAAAAATCGTAAACTAACACAAAAATAAACCTGATGTCTTCAACATGAAGCTAAGAATTGATTGTGAAAGGTGAATGGATCCATGAATTGGTCGTCTAGCATATATTATTTTCCACCTATTTAGATGCAGCAATACCGATTCTAAGAAAACTATATATCGTTCTTTTTTTGGAAAAAGTAACATTTTCAGCCAAATAAAGCTTTTAAGGGAAAAAAAGTAGCCCACAGACAGTAGGAAAAAATTCAAGGAGCACAAGGAAACAGAAAAAAAACACAGACTTGTTTTTTGAAAAAAATTTCGAATGTTTAAAAAATATATGACCTTCAAGTTCTTTTTAACAAGAAAAATTATGATTGCTTTGGTGATAAAATACCCAAACTTAAGAAAACTTGATCAATATTTAGACTTTTTAAAATCAAATTTGGGAAAATTGAACTTTAAAAACCCTTATCAAAAATAGAAGTAGATCACGTTTTTCGTTAATTTTACACTTTTGGTGTTCTATAGTGCAGTTTGCCATCCTTTCAACTAAGGAAATGAACTGAACTTAAGAAATCAAAAATAAAATAGCAAAAAACGTATTTACCGAAAAAATCATCACGGCCTGATACGAGCCCTCACTACGTTCATAGACGTTCTAAGTAAATATACGGAGCGGAGAAGTCCACAATTTGCGATACAAAACAAGAAAGCCGCTAATTTAATAAATATCAAAAAGAAAAAACAAATACTTACCAATCCGTAACAAAGCCAAAATTACCTTAGGAGAAAACCTTCAAGTCGAAAAGAAATTAAACAAAACTTAAGTCCCCCTCTCACTCAAAAAACGCACATACATACATCACGCAAACAAAAACTTTATTCGCTCATCAAACGAAACACTATGAGTCCCAGAAAGCCGATAATAAAAAAGGGCGAATAACATTAAGCCGAAAAAAAAGAAAACAAAAACAGAACGCCGAAAAAAATTCAAAGATTTAAGACTCAAACACACACACACACACGCATACAAAAACTTTATTCGCTAATCAAACGAAACAATATGAGTCCACTAAGCCGATATAATAAAAGACGCATAATATTAAGCCGAAATAAAAGGAAAACAAAAACAAAACACCGAAAAAAAAATCCGAAAGATTTAAGTCAAAAAAATATAAAGTTCCGCTCAAACACAGACGCACACAAAAAAAACGTTTCGCTAAGTTCCGCTCAAACACAGACGCACACAAAAAAAACGTTTCACTAAGCCGATATAGTACATACCGATATAATATAAGCTGAAACCTATTAAGCCGAAAAAAGGAGCAAGAAAAACAACAAACAATTTTAAAAATTTCAACAAGCCGAGTTGGTAAAATTACAACCAAGATAAAAAAAGAAATAGCTATTTTTTTCATGAAGTTCGAAATTCTTAAATCTTAAAATACTTTCAGTATTGAAAACAAAAACTTTTCAATGTATTTTTTTCCACTTTCAGCATGCTAGATTATTACAGTGGTGCGTTTGCTCCTTCAAGTGTAGAAATTGATCTCATTTATTCATTTAATTTTCAAATTGTCATATTTCCAGCTCTTTTGCTATGCTGATTTTACCTTGGTGCATTGTAGCATCATCTAGAAATGTCGAAGTTAGCGTGGACTCCTGTTTTCTGATTTGAAGCAAGTTTCTAAAAAATTGAGGCGCACTCCAATATATATTGTTGTTCCGACTTTCGATACGAAAGTAACGGAATATTTGTGCTCGGGGTGGGTTTTTTTTTCTTCAGACAAATTTCGACTTTTTAACTAGCCATTTTTGACGGAATTTTTTTTATATCATTCAAAAGCTATTGTTGTCCTGAGCTCAAATTTGAAAAGAGATTTCACCTGTGATTATTTTTCGTAAAGTTATGGGGGTTTAAAGATTGCCATTTTGGTCAATTTTGGACAATTAACGCGCGATATATTTCGCGCTATTAACGCGTAAGCGGAGATTTAATCCGTCTTAAAATCGTTCCAAATTGGTTGAAAGAAGCTTATTTGCCATAATTGATTTGTTACAAGGAGCTAAATCTATCTTTCTGTACTTTATATGGCGTGTGGGGGGATGATTTTCATACAAAATTTCAAACTTAAGAAAAAAAAATTTTTCATTTTATTTTATTACATTCAATTTTTTGATGTTAATACTGCTCCATAAAACCTTAAAAGGCAGTCGGAACATTCAGGGCTTCGCCCTGATACGAGCAGTCTTGTTTTGTTTGCATTCTCATTTTCAGCTTTTATTGTGAACATTAACTGACGTTAATTCAAAGCAAAATTGACTTTAATTGTCTATGGGTCTTCAGTAAGCGCGCGTTGTGTTGCGCCTGTAGCCTCTTTCATTTCCATGTAATTAATTGTATTGATATTTATGATTATGTTGTAAATTTTTGCTTTACAAGCAAAATTTTTGCTTTACGTAAGTAAATTTTTGCTTTACCATTATATTGGATAAATAACTTTCTCCTTTCTTTCGATAATCATGCTACAATTTGTAAAGCCCACAAAAAATCATCAAAAATAGTTTCGAACACAGCTTGAATGAAATTTAAATATCTAAAACAAGACTGCTCGTATCAGGGCGAAGCCCTGAATGTTCCGACTGCCTTTGAACGTTTAAGGAGCAGTAATAACCTATAAAAATAAAAAGTAATAAAATAAAATGAAATTTTTTTCTTCTAAAATTTGAATTTTTTTTTACAAAAATCATCCCCCCACACGCCATATAAAGTACAAAAGGGTAGATTTCGCTCCTTGTAACAAATCAATTATGGCAAATAAGCTTCGTTCAGCCAATTTGGAACGATTTCTAAGACGGATTAAATCTCCGCTTACGCGTTAATAGCGCGAAATATATCGCGCGTTAATTGTCCCAAATTGGTCAAATTGGCAATCTTTAAACCCCCATCACTTTACGAAAAATGATCACAGGTGAAATATCTTTTCAAATTTAAGCTCAGGACAACAATACTTTTTGAATGATATAAAAAAATTCCGTCAAAAATGGCTAGTTAAAAAGTCGAAATTTGTCTGAAGAAAAAAAAACCCACCCGAGCACAAATATTCCGTTACTTTCGTATCGAAAGTCGGAACAATAAGCCTCTTTCTAGAATATTTGAATAAGGGTCTGAATTTGCCAGCTCGTTTGAATGCCTGTCTAAAATAAAAATTGACTTATTTTCTGATAGCCAAAATAGGCAGCTTTTACCATTAAAAACTTTACACCATAAACAATTTCCACCATATCTTTTTCAAGCAATCTTGAAAGTTTTAGCCCAGTTTAGGATATTTTTTTGAAAATTTGCTCCTTTCTAAAACTGCTTAAGTATATGAAAACTTAGTATTTACATTCTAGCTCGCAAATGAGTAACTTAGATATCTTTGGTATACTTAAAAGCTATCAATCTTGAACATCAAAAGAACTCATCATTTAATTAGCACAAACATGTCTGAAATAATTTTAAAATTTTATTCATTGTCATCATTGTTGTCTCCCGGCAGCCTGACTGTGAATCTGAGTCTGACATTACTGGCTAAGAGTAGTGACGTCACTACAAAGGGGAGGAGAACTCTGCATTTCCAGAGGTACCTGGACATTGCCATCACGTAAGAGTGAAAGAATGAGTTTCTCAAGGTCAACTGATACTTCATCTTCAATTTGCTCTAGTCAGACAAAAAATATATTTCCTTGTTTTTGGTTGCTAAGTCTTTTCAGGTCATAGCTCCAGTTTGACAGCACATTATACTCTGAAATTATAAGCAATTCAAACAATAGTTTTGATAAGTAATCGATTTTACTTCCCAAACATTTGATGGTTCAAAGTAGAAACATATTTTAGTTTAAAAATCTATCCATTAACATGGTGGCCAGGGTTGCATAAAAACCCGATTTGAATTTAAAAATCAAATGAATCGGATTTTGTTGATTTAAATTGATTCTTTTAATTTATATCCAATTTTTTAAAACTGCCGAGTATCTTATTCGCTTGCTATATTTCGCGCTATTAACGCGTAAGCGGAGATTTAATCCGTCTTAAAATCGTTCCAAATTGGTTGAAAGAAGCTTATTTGCCATAATTGATTTGTTACAAGGAGCTAAATCTATCTTTCTGTACTTTATATGGCGTGTGGGGGGATGATTTTCATACAAAATTTCAAACTTAAGAAAAAAAAATTTTTCATTTTATTTTATTACATTCAATTTTTTGATGTTAATACTGCTCCATAAAACCTTAAAAGGCAGTCGGAACATTCAGGGCTTCGCCCTGATACGAGCAGTCTTGTTTTGTTTGCATTCTCATTTTCAGCTTTTATTGTGAACATTAACTGACGTTAATTCAAAGCAAAATTGACTTTAATTGTCTATGGGTCTTCAGTAAGCGCGCGTTGTGTTGCGCCTGTAGCCTCTTTCATTTCCATGTAATTAATTGTATTGATATTTATGATTATGTTGTAAATTTTTGCTTTACAAGCAAAATTTTTGCTTTACGTAAGTAAATTTTTGCTTTACCATTATATTGGATAAATAACTTTCTCCTTTCTTTCGATAATCATGCTACAATTTGTAAAGCCCACAAAAAATCATCAAAAATAGTTTCGAACACAGCTTGAATGAAATTTAAATATCTAAAACAAGACTGCTCGTATCAGGGCGAAGCCCTGAATGTTCCGACTGCCTTTGAACGTTTAAGGAGCAGTAATAACCTATAAAAATAAAAAGTAATAAAATAAAATGAAATTTTTTTCTTCTAAAATTTGAATTTTTTTTTACAAAAATCATCCCCCCACACGCCATATAAAGTACAAAAGGGTAGATTTCGCTCCTTGTAACAAATCAATTATGGCAAATAAGCTTCGTTCAGCCAATTTGGAACGATTTCTAAGACGGATTAAATCTCCGCTTACGCGTTAATAGCGCGAAATATATCGCGCGTTAATTGTCCCAAATTGGTCAAATTGGCAATCTTTAAACCCCCATCACTTTACGAAAAATGATCACAGGTGAAATATCTTTTCAAATTTAAGCTCAGGACAACAATACTTTTTGAATGATATAAAAAAATTCCGTCAAAAATGGCTAGTTAAAAAGTCGAAATTTGTCTGAAGAAAAAAAAACCCACCCGAGCACAAATATTCCGTTACTTTCGTATCGAAAGTCGGAACAATAAGCCTCTTTCTAGAATATTTGAATAAGGGTCTGAATTTGCCAGCTCGTTTGAATGCCTGTCTAAAATAAAAATTGACTTATTTTCTGATAGCCAAAATAGGCAGCTTTTACCATTAAAAACTTTACACCATAAACAATTTCCACCATATCTTTTTCAAGCAATCTTGAAAGTTTTAGCCCAGTTTAGGATATTTTTTTGAAAATTTGCTCCTTTCTAAAACTGCTTAAGTATATGAAAACTTAGTATTTACATTCTAGCTCGCAAATGAGTAACTTAGATATCTTTGGTATACTTAAAAGCTATCAATCTTGAACATCAAAAGAACTCATCATTTAATTAGCACAAACATGTCTGAAATAATTTTAAAATTTTATTCATTGTCATCATTGTTGTCTCCCGGCAGCCTGACTGTGAATCTGAGTCTGACATTACTGGCTAAGAGTAGTGACGTCACTACAAAGGGGAGGAGAACTCTGCATTTCCAGAGGTACCTGGACATTGCCATCACGTAAGAGTGAAAGAATGAGTTTCTCAAGGTCAACTGATACTTCATCTTCAATTTGCTCTAGTCAGACAAAAAATATATTTCCTTGTTTTTGGTTGCTAAGTCTTTTCAGGTCATAGCTCCAGTTTGACAGCACATTATACTCTGAAATTATAAGCAATTCAAACAATAGTTTTGATAAGTAATCGATTTTACTTCCCAAACATTTGATGGTTCAAAGTAGAAACATATTTTAGTTTAAAAATCTATCCATTAACATGGTGGCCAGGGTTGCATAAAAACCCGATTTGAATTTAAAAATCAAATGAATCGGATTTTGTTGATTTAAATTGATTCTTTTAATTTATATCCAATTTTTTAAAACTGCCGAGTATCTTGGAAAAACCAAAAGAAGAGGTAGAAAATTTATTGAAATGAAGGGTATTATGGAAATTGTTGATCAACTTTCAGTTTTGATTAGAACCTTCAAAAATACCAGTTTTACGAAACTAGAGGGTAAAAGTTGGCGTATAATTGGCGAAAAAATGCCACTAGCTGCGAAAATTTGGACTTTACCACCTTTGATTAAAATCAAACAAAACCACTGATTAAAATAAAGATTTCAATCGGATTTAAATCAATGATTCAAATCAAGCAACCCTGGGACCGAATGATGGAAATTTATTTTCAGTTGTTTTCAGCCAATCAAAATTGAGTATTCAAAATCTCAAAGAAATCGCGAAAATCTCAAGGCAAGCGAATAAATTCAGGCCTTTTAAATTAATATTGACCGCTTAGAAAATCAGTAGATAAATAAATTTTCAATTATTGCGAAAACGAATTCGGATATTGGAAAAAAACCTGAAATCGATTTTCAAAAACTGAAACATTTAGGGACGAATTGTACAGCAAAACTTGCTGTGCTGCTATAAGTCATTTTCTGTAAAAGTTTTCCATCATTCGGCCCCTCCATGAGTAAACTACACTCCCATTAATATGCTATATTTAGTCTGGGTTTTAAGACTTTTACTGAAATATTTCATAAATGAATGTCCATTTCCATTTTTCCAATTTCCCAGATTGAACCGAGACTGCAACGCGATTATAATTAGCCATTATAATTAGTTTCAATTTACACGTTGGTTCTAATATTTTCAACTTCATGATAAATCAACATTTAACTCTCCCTCTGATAGTTTTGGTCAACTCTGCTAGGAGCATCACTCATCAAACAAGCTCCAGTTTTGCTGCTTTTCGGAAAAGCGATCACATCTCTGATCGAACTCTTGCCCAGTAAAACAGCGAAATATCGATCAAGTCCAATCGCTATTCCACCGTGTACAGGCGCGCCAAAAGAAAGCGCGTCAATCAAGTATTGAAAATTACTGCAATCAAGTTTCAGAATATCTTCCAGAACTAAACGTTGCACTTCCGAGTCACTGATTCTCATGGATCCCCCGGCTATTTCATTTCCATTTAAGACTAAATCGAAATGTTGACCTCTAACTTTTGCCGGGTCCGATCGCAAAAACCGAACATCATCTAGATGGGGTGCTGTAAATGGATGATGACTTGCGACCCATTTGTTAGGATCATCAGAATTTTGTTCAAACAATGGGAAATCTTCAACCCAGAGAAACTTGAAATCATTCGGATCACGTTGATAGATTTTAGAAACATCTGCCAGCTTTTCAATAAGCCTCACTCTTAGCCTTCCCAACATTGTGCATGCTAAATCTTTTGGGCCAACAGACAGCAGTATTATATCGCCATTTTCGCACTTCAGAAATTCATTTAACTGAGATACTAACGCGTCATCAGCATTTTGAAACGAATGATGATGCCAACGACCGTTTTCTCCGATACTTATTAGAGACACCATCCATCTGACTTCTTTTTCAACTGACTGAACAATTTTATTGATTGCTGACCGCGTCAATTTTTGTCCGTTTTTGATCAACATCCCATAACCAGGACATCCTATGCTTAGATTCTGGTCAAAGGCATTGCTTTTCAGACCCCTCAAGATATCCGTCGGCAATTCAGTGAGTTTAACTTCCGGGTATCTCAAATCAGGTTTATCGGTTCCATACTGACAAAAGACTTCATCGTATGACATTCGCTTGAATGGTATTATAGGCTTATCACCGCAAGACTTTTCAGGCCAGGTTTCAACTATTAATTTCTCAATTAAACCTTGTATGAATTCTTTGGATTCGAAACTTACTTCCAAGTCAAGTTGCGTGAATTCTAACTGACGGTCTGAAAATTGGCACTCATCACGATAACAACGAGCAAATTGAAAGTACCTGTCTACCATTCCGACCATGAGTAATTGTTTTAACTGCTGAGGGCTTTGTGTTAATGCATAGTAGTGTTCGGGTTGTTGAGACGGAACCAAGAACTCTTTCGCACCTCCTGGCGAGCTTCGAAACAATGTAGGCGTTTCGACTTCAGTGAAACTAGAGTCTTCGACTAAAATTCTTCTCATTTTATGAATAGTTGAAGACCTAAGACGTAACATTTGCTGCATTTCAGGTCTTCGTAAGTCAAGGTATCTATACTGCAGACGTATGTCCTCTCTCACTGATGACTGGGGCTTGTGTATGTTAAATGGCACTGGAGCGGCATAGTTGAAAAACAAGACTTCCGATACCGAAACTTCGAATGCGCCCGTTTTCATTTCAGAGTTCACATCTTGGAGCGGACGCTTTTTAATTTGTCCTCGTAAAGTTACAGCACTTTGAATTGTGAGCTTTGACCAGCAAAAATCATTAGAATGTGAACTTTTATTTTCGAGACCGGAATTTTCTTTTCGGAAAACAAATTGCAATTCTCCGGTGTGATCGGTTAGAACCAAAAACCCGAAGTCTGATTTGCCAACATTCCTGATGTATTTAACCCAGCCTGAGAAAACTTGGAAAGTATCCACATGATCGCCGGAAACTTGGTCGCAATTCAGGGTTCTATACACATCTACTTGTACATGCGGTGATTTGAAACTTAGCGCTTTTCTTTGAAGCTTCGGTGCTTTGTGGCACCATTTGCAAGCAATTGTTGGTTTTGCACAATAAAAATTCTGCTGATGCGATAAACTGACCAGAAATGAAGTCAATAAACGTTCATTTCTTAGGTACTTTGAAACTTTCGGGAAAACTGTAACCATATTTATGAGCATTGTTTCACATATCAAACCTGCAATTTAATAACTACTAAAAATATAAAGAAGCTTACTGGCTACTTTATTCATAGCAGACAAAATCTATTCAAAAACAAAGCAACGCACATTAAGGTGTGTAGCAAAAATATTTGACGCTTCAGCAGCATGGCATCTAGGTGACTTACAATAAATATATTTTAATTAAAGCTCGTACACAAAAACGTGCAGCCTTTGCGCTGAGCCAAGCATTACTTCATTTCTCTAACAATACGTTTATAAATAGCTTCCAAATTTTTACTCGCCGGGAATTTTTACTATTTTACAAAGATTACCAGCCGCGACTTTCTGATGAGCAAGCCTGCCCAGCGGATACGTGTTCCGCCTATCTATGGCCATAATAAAGGCAGCACTGGCAAAAGCGACAGGTTTTCGCAAAACGCCGGCGTAATTCACTTTTCAAAGCAGGCGCAACTTCTCAAAAAATCAAGTAGCTTGTCAAATAATTCCAAAAAAGCGACTCCAGTAGTACTGTTTCCAGTCATATCTCACCAACAGACAAGCGAAACAAATTCTAACGAGGAAGCATCGTCAATCAAAACTGAAGAGGTTAAACCTCTACCAGAAATTAAGCCTAAGCCAGAGGCTAAAAGGGATTCAAATGGTGGACAATCACTACACGAGCCTACGATCCAAGATGCCATTCGACGTCTCAGCCAATCATCAATTGAACCTTTGAAGTCAGGGTCAAACTCGCCTGTTCCGGAAGAGCAAGGGACAAAAGATGATCAGGAAAACTTTGATGTCATGATTTCATACAGTCATCAGGACATGGACTTAATGAGATACATCAGAGAGATTCTTAAATCTAAGGGGATGAAAGTATGGGTTGACGAAGAGGGCTTAGGAGCAGGAGTTGATTTTCTCAGCAAAATTGGAAAAGCAATCGTATATTCGACTTGCTTTTTACAGATATTGACGGAAGCTTCAGTCGTGTCCAAGTACTGCAAAGATGAGCTGAGTCTCGCATACATCTCAAACAAACCTATCAACGTTTTATGCAGTTCAAAACCTGATCATTTATTTTCACAGATGGATTTCGGCCAGAAGCTGACTCTGGCACCTTATAAGTCCAAGTTTGTGGAGATTACCGACTTGCGATTGAGAAAATCTCAAGTGGAGTATATGTGCGACCAAATCAAGACAAAAATAGCGAATTTGTCTTCAGACATGGCTAACGATCATATCTCTCAAGAGAAAACCAAAAATGACATGAGCGCTGAAGCATTTTGGAATTTATATTTGCCGTCAGTAGAAAAATGCAGCTGGTCGGAGTTTCTTCAACTGTTTCTAATGCACTATGGAACAGACTTTGAGTTCACAGTTCCAGCTAAAGACCAATCTTGGCTTTTGTCTATCTTCAAAGCCGAGCTCTGTGACGAAAAAAGTGAAGACCCGGACTTCGTGACACTTGAAGGCCTCAAAATGTTCTGCAAACCTTCCACATCTCAAATATCACACTTTGTATGGGAAAGTATTCAGAAATACGCCCGCGAACAATTGGCGATTAAAGGAGTATTCGCTATTGATTCAACGGTCAGGCTTGACGCAATTGAAAACCTGAGCAAATTCAAAAGTACAGCTGTTCAAGAAGCTTTGCTGGATTTGCTTAAAGATCCCGATGCAAATGTTCGCAGCATCGCAGCTCTGTCACTAGCCAAAGTTAACTTGGGGTACAAAGGACAAGGATTGTCTCCAACAGCGCGAGTCGCCAAACTGTTAAAAGACAAGGATCGATTAGTCAGGGAGTCAGCGTGTGTTGCCCTAGGACGAATGAAAGCAGAGGATCAAACCAATAAACTAATCACAGTCTGGCGCAATGATGTTATTTCTGTAGTTCGTGATGCAGCCTACTTAGCATTGGAGTTAATCGGTGGCGATGAAGCAACGAGGGCTATTTATGTCACAAAAGTGTTATCTGATGAGATCAAGGAATTGACAAAATAATATGATTACTATTGAAAACTCTATTGTAAAATAAATTTTATATACAACTGGTGGTTTCCGTCCAGGTTGCACAGAATGTACATTAACTAGATTACATCTTGGATTATTTTTCACGAATTGAAATGATATTCAACTTTTTTACTGAACGCTTAAAGTTTCGCAACTGCACAATGCAAATGCAAACCTAATCCAAAAAATTTTAAAATTTACTTTAAAGAACAGCGTACGCAAGTTGCGGGAATACTCCATAAATGAAAGATTACTTTTTTTTATAAAAATTTAAATTTTTTATAGTAGTCCCTAGTAAAATATCACAATTTCAATTTGTCGCGTGTAACCGCTGCGGCCAATCGTAATACTGTCAAGTACGAAGCTTTAGTTAATGATGGCTAACTTTTTTCAACCGCTAACTTTTCAGGCTCAGGGTGCATCTGGCCTTCGCACTGAGATTTTTTTTGGCAACTGAGTAACAACTTGAAGGTTGAATGATTGTCTCGCGAGTCTCGCCTTATTGTAAGACAAAAGACAAGTGATACACTAGTGGACAAAACTATCAATTATTGGTTTCCTTCACTCATTGTGCCAGTGGGTCATATCCTGAAGTTATATCTGGATTTGGAAACGTTATTTTTGAAATGTAACATTCGCCAGGAAGTACATATCGACGGAAAACAAAGCTAAGCTATAAAACGACTGGCTAGCGTCTAAACAAAGCTATACATGCTTTTCTACATGCCAAAGCCAGTTCTTTTGGTGGTTTTCCTAACATCGGGTCGACAAAAACGTTACTGCTTTCCGGCTTCGACCAGAACGCTCAAATCAACTTAATTACATGCAAAAATATTGAGCTCCTGGCTGAGTCTCAGTATCCCCAGACCACGAGGTCACTCCTAAAAACAGGGCTACTACTTATATATTATGTTACTATTGTTTTTGTTCAGTAGATAAAAATCATCATATCCATCGAAGATGGATCAACCCTTTTCACCAACTCCTAGCTTCTCATTATCTGAAAACGAATCGGGATATTAATCAAATTCAATTCAGGGCATGAACAGGAAGCTAAAAGTTTGTATAAAACAGTTTGAGTCTTGGGCCCCGAGAATAATCCGGATTCGGGAATCCGGGGAAATAGCACTCCTATTTCTTTCCGGAAGGCTGGACACGTCGTCCCAACACCCTTCCTCGTTCGTCTGAATTGCTCGGTAACGATTGTAGCGACACAATCAGTACAACTCAGAGCGGTTTCTGACAAATTCCAGTTATAACTTCTATCTGTCGTTATTTTCTCGTAGTTGTTTTCACTGCAACTATTGTTGTTCTGTTTTCTTCTATTTTCTTGTTTAAAATGGCGGTTTTAGCTTTTCTCAGAAATGTGACGTCACAATTCGATTTTACCTTCCCGATGTCTAATCGTTTAAATAACGTCACTAATCTGTTATAATCATTAATCTTCCAGGTCAGATGTTCTTTTCTGGTCGATTAAAATTCTAATACGAAATTGCATTTTCGTACATTCTGGTCGAATGTCACAAAAAAACCGAATAATAACAGCAGAGAAAATGACAAAAAAATGCTATTGAATCAAACTGCTATTCGCAATTTGTTCAATAATAATCAATTCGAGTAGAGCTGTCTTGATCCTGATAGAGAACGCCAAGAACTATTGCCAGAGTCTTATTGCTGGAACAAGGAGAACCTTGACTAGACAGGTGAGCCAGTGAAACGACCCAATGGTCCAGACGATAAAACTACTTGAGCTTAACTTCCAGTTGTTTCCTCAAGCTTCTAGAGTTACTTTAAATTTATTATTTATTTGGTTCTAGAGTCGTGTTACTATGTAATACCTGATTTTAATTTTTTTATGTGTTGTAAAATTCTCCCGTAAGTACGTATCGATGGAAAATAAAGCTAGGTTCTAAGCGATTGGTTAGGTTCTAAACACAGCTCTACAGTTTTTTCACCGTCTCTGCCAAAGCTAGTTCTTTTGGTGGTTTTTCTAACATCGGGTCGACAAAAAAAAAGTTACTGTTTTCGATTTCGATCAGAGCGCTCTGATTAATTTAATTATATGCAAAAATAGTGAGCTCATGGCTGGGTCTCAGTATCTTCAAACCACGAGGTCACTCATAAAAACAGGGCTACTACTTATATATTATGTTACTATTGTTTTTGTTCAGGAGATAAAAATCATCATTTCCATCGAAGATGGGTCAACTCTTTTCACCAACTCCTAGCTTCTCATTATCTGAAAACGAAATTGGTTTTAATTAAATTCAACTCAAGAAATTCCGGAGAGCTAGAATATGTTGAAATAATGAGTTACAGTTCTCTCCAGAGACTCTTCCCGTTTCTGGAATCCGGAGAAATAACGATCTTATTTTTTCTCGGAGGCTGGACACGTCGTCCCAACACTATTCCTGGTTCTTGTGAACTGCTCTGTAACGATTGTAGTGGCACAATCGTTACAACTCGGAGTTGGTTCTGACAATTTCTAATCACAATCACAACCTGCTGTCGTTTTTTCGTTGTTGTTGTTGTCACTGAGAGTTCTCCCCTTCTGATTTCGCAGTTTCAGTGTGTGCGAAATAAAAAGGGTTCCGTGTCGTTCACGTCTAAATCGAAATTTGAAAAATCAGCATGTCAGTCAAAACTAACCCTTCTCGATTTGTCTGATTGTTCAATTAACGTCACTAATTCATAAAAACTATCAATCTTCTCGGGTAGATGTTCCAATAAAAATTCGAACGCGAAATTGCATTTTAACCATTTTGTTCGAATGTCACTCACTCCCCGGACGGACAGCCCGGTCAATGTTCTGATTGATTCCCGTAGTCTTTAAGAGAAAACATTTTTTTCGACTTCTAACGTCTATGTTCCGATTTAAAACTTTTTCTCCTAGGTTTGAAAAGTGTTGGGACACAGGACGGTCCTGCAAACCGACAAACTAAAATTATCCTACTATGCCTCTTCTCTTTGAAAATCTAGTTGCTATTTGTCCTGAATACTAAAATTAGGGAACGCGGTGGTCAGAAGGAACAATAAAATAGATTATTCGAGAGATTATTCAAGCCTTTCATGTCACCACAAAGTGATCAGTCATCTTAGTTGATTAAAAACAATCATGCAGGCTGGAAAATTTTTAAATAACATTCACTCAAGCCTTTCTAAATAAAAAGTAAGTGTCTCTTAAAGTGTTCTCTCAAAAATCATAATGCAAATTTATAAATGCAACAAACTTTTTTTATCTTCAAAGCTCATCTAAAAGTTTTCTCTTCAGTTTCAATTGCAAACTTAGTTGCTTTGTTTCTCATTTGAGTTTTTCGAACGCACAAAACAGTTCTGAGTTTTAACATCTTCCCTTTCGTTGCCTCTTTGTTTCTTTCTTTGTTCTCGTCATTTAGACGTTCTAAAACTTCTAATTTCTTCTAATTTTCTTTCTTTTTGCATTTTATTTTTCGGCAATTTGTCAATGTTCCATCACCTCTTCCTGCGACATTGACTCTGCACTTTCAGTCTCTGTGTCCTGCAACACGTCGGTAGCTATTCTGACGCTGTTGGAGAAAATCCTCCAACACTTCTGCTCTTCTACTCTTTGTTTACAACAAGGCAGAGGATCAACGTTAGTTTTCTTGTTTCGACAGAAGCTGTTGTGGAGGCACAAAGTCAAGTTTCTCTCCAAGTCTTCTTCTTTTTCCCTTCCGTCATATTCAATTGTCCTATAAATTCTCTGCACTGCGGTGGTAACTGCATTCCGATGAGCTATGAAAGCTCACTTGAAAGCTCCTAATCCAATGTCCAGCTGATACGCACTGTACACTCTGCTGTGCTTCGACATATATTTCTTGGCATACTGGTACAACCATGCAGTCATGTTGGATCCGAACCATGATATCAGTCGTCTTCTGGCACATATCTTTTTCACTTCCATCGGAATGTTCAAGATTTTGCACCTTGTCTGAAAAAGATCTAAATGTTTTAGACAATCCAATTCCTGCAGTTTTTCTTTCGTCGGCGTTTCTTGTCTTTTGTTATCTCTTACACGAGCTTCTAGCCATCGTATTGCCATCATAACTTCTACTATCACTATCTTCACCGGCTGTGATGAATCTGGTAAACCCATGGAGAGCAGCTCTACACAATCCCAGATCAACACCAGGTTACTACGCCCAGGATACCACCATGTTTGTAGCAAGCAATGGCAGGGGAACTCATCATGTGTCAACATAATGCGCCTCCAATTACGCTTTCCCGACGCTTCCAGTAGTGGTTCTACTTCCATCACCACTTGGTGGATTTCATCATTCTCAACTACTGCATTGTAATCTGTGACTGTTGACCCTTTCTGCTTCTGTCTTTCAAAGTCAATGAAATTCCTACTGGCGTATCCCATGAACTTCTTTCGCAGTATCGATTCTAACTCTTCTTTGGTTCTCTCTGGAACTGTTGAGAGCATCTTGCACAATAACTCGTAAGATCTTTCTGACATTCTCGCTATTCTTACGCATTTTGGCACTGAGAAGGCTTGATCCACGATCGTTCTCGTACTTTTCACATCCACCGCTACAAAATGCACTGAGTATCTGCTCTTGCACATTGCAGCTAGAGTTGATCCCAATAAATATCTCGCTCCCGTCGGTCTACGATAGGTTCCACTATGCCGGATGTTCGTTTCCGCCTCGATCGCTTCTCTCCACTTTCCAATATAACTCTGCTCGGTTTGCAGAACTCCCGGAAGCACTTCTACACTGATAGTCGTAACCATCTCATGCTTTTGTTCTAGATTCAATAGTCACTCTAAAGAACCAAAAATGATTTCACTAGATTCACCTCGGTTTCTCCATGGCAATCTGCAATCGATCCGTTTCCCTTTTTCTTAGCAATTCAGCCGAGAATCTCAATCCAAACTCCACTCGGTTGTAGATTTTGGCAGTGAAGGTGCAGTCACCTTTTCCTCCAAGACTGGTCCCAGCTTGGTCTGCTGATTAGCATCTCTTCCTATCGTTGCAATCTTAGCAACACTGCTTGTGCTCGTAGTCAAAGAAGCAATTGCGCATTCTTCATTTACGAAAGGGTTGTACGCCATCCCTATGATTCCGGATACGTAACTGTATGACTTCTTCCTGATCGGTCCAGAGTACTCACTGGACTTCGGCAGTGCTCCCATAGATTCTTTTGTGAGCTTCATCTCCTTGTTAGAGAATCTCCTGATTTCGTCAATCTTTTTCATCGGTTCC